AAATAATGAAATTACATGATTCTATTTTATTATGCGTAAAAATAACAGAGTAGTCTAACTAGAAGTTCAGTTGTGTTGAAATGTGTTTGTTTGGTGTTGTCATGATTTTACACCGCGGATACTTCATTACACATTTACATAGTCATGTGATAGTTGTTACTGGTATTGGTATTTCCTTAGTGGAAAGAGATCTTTGGAACATTTCCATTTGTACCTCCTCATGAACCTTGCGAGTCACTGAAATACAGGTTTATAGAAGAGTAAAACATCTCCCCTTTATTCCGTTTACTGTCTCCACCTTATTTTCTCACTGAGTTTGATTTTCATTGCTGTTGACTAGTTCCCCCACATTTTTTTCAGTGGGGAAACTGGCAATTAGTGACAAGGAAAAGAATGAGGTCATAGTTAATTGTTAAAGGTGTCTTAGAGTTGGCATGTTCCAATTATTCATATTTAATTCGGTTTTAAAGTCTTTTATAAATATTATCATTTTATAGTGAAAGTGCTGTTCACTGTTATTGCTACTAAAAATTCCCACATTTATGATCCTCAAATATTTTCTATGTCCTTGATCTTCAATATTTTAATATTTAAATCCCTGTTATTTAATTTCAAAATAATTAGTGATGTTATTTCTAAAAACATACCAGGATACTTTATAATTTTAGGGCGCCTTTCCCTTTAACCAGCACCATGTATTTACCAGGTAATTTAGCTTCCCAATGTGTGCATCTGAAATATTCGCTCTTTTTGAAATAAGCCAATGACTTATTTATTGCTTCTGTATGTTGTGTATTATAAAGAGAAGTCTCTTTTTGATGCATAAAACGTGGGTTCATCGGAGACAGAGCAGTTTTCCTCTCTGCAAGGACTGCATTGCATTATCTTACAAAGTGCTTTCTTCCACCATCCATACTGTAAAGAATCAGTTTAACCCAGAGAGGCTAGTGTATTTCCCTTCCTGCAACCAGAATAGCTTTGGAAATTTGGAAATGCATCATTAACTCATTGTACACGGTCTCATTTCATTTCTGAGGATTCACGTTGGAATGCCAGTTGTACATAGTCGTAAGAGGAAGGGTAACTGGCACTAAGGCATGCACTTAAGCAATAGAGGCATTTACTTTTCAGTGTCTTCCAAGGCCCATGAGGATGCACACTTATTTACCCAGAGAGTCTGGATCTCACTATGTTTGTCCAGAGGTGTGACTGGAGGAGAATACTTACCGGTAAGTATCAAACTCTTATTGTACTATGTTTCGGAAAGACATGTTTAGAAGTCAATTGGCTGTTAGCAGTGATAAAGTCTCTTAGTCTGTGCTGGTTTCTTAACAGTGGACAGTCCCAGATGTTGAAGTCAGCACAAGAGAAAAGCTCAAATCCTGATAAGACTTGAGGATTTTTGGAAAATTAAATGCAAAATAGTTGGGGCAAATGTTGCTGCAGGAATGAAGACTAAGTGCCGCAGCGCGAAGATAAGAAGCTGGAGAGCTTCCCGCGTCCCCTTGTGCATAGCGTTTGCATACGCCCTCGCCCAGGACTTACTGACTTCTTCAAGGGTGCAGTCACATCTCTTGGAACTTAAAGCAGCAGACTCATGTGAACCGGAATAACGGACACTGTGGCCCTCACCGTTTCTCTTATCTTTCTCCGCAAAGTACTTCATGTTTCTGAATAAAGCCGTGCCTTCTGAAACCTGTGCGTGACCCATCCTGGCCACATAGAATCTTTTGAAAACGTTTTCCAAATCCAGGTTGTCAGTGTGGAGCTATGTTTGTTTTGGAAACAGTTACACAAGGAGATACGGGAGGCCCATTTCAGAGACCCGTTGTTGCTTCTGCTTCTGCCTTATAATTTCTTCTCTTTTTCTTTCAGCCATTAACTGTTGAATCCATAATTGACTGTTTGTCGAAAGGACTTGGATGTTAGTGCGTGCTGTATAAAAGTTTAAAACGAAACAAAACAAAGATCTAGCTGGTTTGGCTCAGTGAATAGAGCACTGGCCTGAGACCAAAGGGTCCCGGGTTCAATTCCAGTCAAGGATATGGACCTCGGTTGCAGTCTCCTCCTCAGCCTGAGCTCTGGTCAGGACTCATGCAGGAGGCAACCAATCAGTGTGTTTCTCTCACATTGATGTTTCCTCTGATTTTCACTCTCTCTCCCACTCTCCCTAAAAATCAACTGAAAAAAAAAAAATATCCCCTGTAGAGGATTAACTAACTAACTAACTAACTAACTAACTAACTAATGGACCACCCTAATGTTTGATAGATCTCTGGGAATTACCATACCTATAAAAATAGGCACAGTGACACTGCCAGATCTCCCACGCCACCTCAGGAAGGCTTAGGATCCACTAAGCCATGCCTTAAGCAGCGCTGAGCGGAAGTCAGAGCTTGTGAGAAGCATTCCGCGCTTAGATTTGGCATCATGCACACGAGGGTTAGAGTTGCCAGTTCCTAGCTCGCTGGCCTTCAGTAAGATGCTTGAGGATTCTGAGATTGTTTCTCTGCTGGAGAATGACATGCGGTAGGTCTAGCAAATGATGGGCAGTGGTCCCACCACTGAACCAAGGAGTCTGGGTACCCGGTCTAAATCATGGCCACAGAGCCGCTGGGGTAGACAATGGCAGGAACACCTATGACATGATAGTAAGAGGCCTGAGAGTACCTTTCTGTGAGACCCATTTTTGTTTTGCCTTGTGTCATTCTGCCAATCCCCAATCTTTAGGACTCACCCCAAAGTCTCTTGCAACTACTCTTTAGGAGGTGTGGATAATGTGTGAAGGGGAGAGCATCAACAGCAGAAAGATTAGGTGGAAGGGTAAGATACCAGCCATTCTTCCAGCCATTACAGCAAATGCCTGCTGTGTGCCAGGACCAGGGGCTACGGGAGTGAACAAAACAGAAATGCTGGCCATCAGGAAGCTTACGTTCTAGATGTGGGAGATAGGCCGGACACAAATGATTATGCTGGATATGGAGATAATACGCCTGTAAAAGGGGGTGGTGGGAACTGGGGCAAGGCAGTGGCTTTCTGGTTAAAACAGGGCTCATTGAAAAGGTGATATTTAAACAGAGATCAGGAGCCAACCATGAGTAAGTCTGGACAAAAGGGGGAACTGGGAACGGATCTTATAAGTCATTGAGAGGACTGCCTTTTCCTTTGAGCGGGATATGAAGCCATTGGAGAGTTTTGAACAGGAAAGTGACATGATCTGACTTAATCTTTCTTTAGGGGCAGCGATGGAAGCAGGGACTAGTCAACAGATCATTGGAATAATTCAGGCTGGAAATGATGGTAGCCTGGGTCAGGTGGAAATGATGGAGGTGAAAAATGGTCAGATTCTGGATCAGGATGGATTGGTCATGTGAATGGGCGGGGGGTGGTGGTGGTGGTGGCTAAGATGTGTTAAGGATGACCTCAGCATTTTTGGGCTGACAGCTGGAAGGGCTAAGTTGTCATTTACTGTTTACCGAGATGGAAGTTGGAGAAGAAGGTTCTGGAAGAGATCAGTTCAGGTGTTGCCAAGGCTACTAGATAGCCTAGATGTAGAGAGGGGATGTTTGGAAGTGCAGTGGCCTTATTTAATGCTCAGTTTACACAAGTCGCTAAGTCATGTAAGTTCTGTTTAAATCTCTAAGAAGACAGTACTATAATTCACAACTATAGTAATAAAAGCATAATATGCTAATTAGACCGGGCATTGTTCCTGACTTCCTTTTGGACGAAGCTGGGGCTGCAAGAGAAGCCGGGTCCTGGGTGCCTGCTGGCAGCCGGAGGGAAGCCTGGGGCCAGGTGCCGGCAGCTGGGGGAAGGCAGGCCTACTCTTGCATGACTTTTGTGCACTGGGCCTGGAGTTTTATATATTAGGACATGGTGCAGAAACATGAAGTTTCTTAGGCTCACACACAGATCTGAAACCTGGTTTTGTGGCTGCAAGTTCCACATTGTTCTAACTTTACTACGCTAGTTACAAAATAGTTATTCAATTTTATAATTGCCATAATTGGTTAAACAAAGTATATCACATACACACTCTCTCTCTTATCTAATGAAGTATAGAGAATATCTTTGAAAGGTTTATGTGAAAGCTTTTTTTTTTACTTTTCCATGTGTTGAAAACTAATATTCTCATGTAGGCTTTAACTTTGCATATATATTTAGGATTTTAAAAAAATGGTGATTGGAGATCACAATGAATATAATTTTTAAAAAACATTCTTATATATAAAAATTTCTTCTTTTAGTAACAGTTTACTTTATGGTAATTCATGTTCCTGTCAGTTCTTTAAACGGGAAAATGCATTTTCAAATCTTAAATGCATTTCTTTTTTAAAAGTAAAATGTATGTTTATTTTTTGAACCAGAAATACAAGTAATGAAAACACACGGGATTGTCTGAGCTTTGATATTGTTGTTCTAGAGACGATGGCAAACTGTACAATACAAATAGCAAAATAGAGGTTGAAATTTATAAAAAATGCCTATTCTACTGTTTAAAGGTTATGTACTTTTATAATTTTCATTTATAAAGCAATGGAATTTTATTTGATTTTATTAGTTCTGAAGGCATTTAAACTTTATGGGGTCTAATGACTTAAGTGATCAGGAGCAGATTAATATAGTTTTCTTAAATAAAGCAAGCATACATATATTTAAAAAAATATTTCTATTGATTTCAGAGAGGAAGGGAGAGGGAGAGAAAGGTAGAAACATCAATGATGAGAGAGAATCATTGATCAGCTGCAATCTGCATGCTCCATACTGGGGATGGAGCTGCAGCCTGGCCACGTCCTCAAACGGGAATCCAATTGTGACCTCCTGGTTCATAGGTCGAGATCAACCACTGAGCCATGCTGGCCAGGCCATACATTTTCTTGGAAGTAATACAGTTATTTGTGGAATGTGACTATGTTTGTTTCTATGACGTTGGATTTTTAAAACTTATAAGTTATGATCTCTCACCTCTATAATGACGAACCTTTCTGATTCTGTAGGAAGTCCTGCACGTTGCAGGTGTGGAAATGCAGTTAACGGCTGCCGTGTCATTTCTGACCATTCTGCAGGAAGAATCAGTGTCAGTTCACACGTATGCCCACTCCTTCCTCCAAACCATTCTGCTGCATCTGGAGCACAGGGATGCAGGTCAGGAGCCGGCACGCGCCTTCCTGTCGTCCTTTATTGCTCTGAATGCCATTTAGCATCCATTTGGTTTTCACTTAGCGTCATTTTCCTATGTCATTTCAAACTCCTGTGGTCACGATGCTCTTGGAACCTTATTAGCCCAGTGAGGACACCTGAATGCGGTCACGCTGTCCAAAAGTTGATCACTAGTCTGACTAAAAATAGCCCCGCTGTTTCCTTTCAACACCCACGGAATTCAGTATCCTTGGAAGCTGAAGACCCATCAGTTCATCTTATGATCTACACCTTCTTCTTAGAGTTTTAAAGTTTTACAGCATTTGTGTTTATAACGTACAGCAAAAATGCACAATTTGGGGTAAAGATAGCTCTCCAATATTATTATTTTTAAAATCTATTTTTATTGATTTCAGAGAGGAAGGGAGAGGGGGAGAGAGAGAGAAATATCAATGAGGAGAAAGAAGCATTCATTGGCTGCCTCCTGCTTGTCCCCCACTGAGGATTGAGCCCACAACCCAGGCATGTGCCCTTGGCTGGAATTGAAACTGGTACCCTTCAGTCCCCAGGCTGACACTCTATCCACTGAGTCAAACCAGCTAGGGCTCCCCAATATTATTTTTAAAGATATACATTTTTTCTAGATATTGGCTAAAATAAAAATAGAGAAACTTCTTACAATGATAGTAATTATTAGTTCATGTTATCATTAAGTAATGTTGTAGTGATTAATGGCTGAGTTGAAACTAGACTTGTGAGATTAAATTTCCATGTGTTACCTGTGTCAATCAGGTGTCAGCAACGCATGGCTGGAAACTCTTCTGTCTGTGATGGAAGTGTTGCCCAAAGAAACCCTCAGGCATGAGGTAATTCTTTCTTTCTGGCGTGTGTGGGGGAGTGAGTACTAAGTCACTGTACAATTTCCTTTTTATAAAAATGGGATTTTAAAAAAAGAATAAAGTTATTTCCCACTCTGAAAGCAAACCATGGTAATTATAGAAAATTTGAGTAATACAGAAATTAATAAGGAGAAAAATCATGATTCTGTACTTAGCCACTTTTACCATTCTGATATATTTTCATTGTACTTCCCCCCCATGTGCTAGTATGGTTGTTGGCCATATTAGTGATCATTTAGCATTATTTTCCTATGTTATTTTAAACTCATTTGACAATACCCACAAAATATTTTACTTGTTAGACATTTAAGCCTGGTTTTAGTATTTGATGATCAAAATAAGGCAGTAATGAACATCTCTATAGAGCTTTTCCTGTTTTTCAGATGATTTAACTATAGCTTCTAAAAAAGTGAAATTACTGTGTCAGAGAGCATTAATATTCTTCAAGGTCTTAACTAGCAACACGTTAAAATGCCTGTTTCCCTGGACTTTTATCAGCAATAGTGTTCCAACTTAATTTGATGGTCCAAAAATGGCATGACATTTTAATCAGAATTTTAAAAATTAATCTATAGCATATATTTCTCATATATTATGTCACTTTTAATTATTCTTTTGTAATTGTCTAAGAGTATCATTGATATTATTTGTATGTGCTATTTATCTATCAAGGTTGCCAGTCCTTTGTTACGTTTATTATCAGGAGGCAACTGATCAAGGATTCACATCATTAATGTTTCTCTCTCTCCCTCTCCCTTTCTCTCTGACATCAATAAAAATATATTTAAAAAATAAGGTTAATGTTTCTTCTATTTTCCATCTTAATCCACTCTTAATACACATAACAATTGGTTATTTGCTTTTTAATTTTCGATATTGTTCAATTCATCATTCTCTAAAAGCTTTAATAAATTAAGATGAGAGAGTAAGATAATTAAAAGGAATTTTTTTCTGTAATGAAAAGATTTTTCATCCTGAGAACATTATCCCTATATGTATTTCTTTTTAAATATGTCATTGTTGAAAAAACCCAGTAACCTATCAGTAAAATGTCCTCTCTGGATTTTATGAAGTGTCTTCATCCTTTGCCCTCATACAGCTTATGATCCTTTCTCAAGGACAAAGCACTTGCTTGAAAATGGGAAGATTTACCATTTATAAGGATGCTTGTGTACTTGATGTCAGAAATCTAGATGATTACACCTATTTAAATGTTCAGTATAATGTTTATACATTTGTGTATTATTTATACATTTTTTGAAGAGTGGTAGGTGGTAGAATGTAGTTTTTACTCTAGAATGCCATCTGTTACTTAATGTGATTTTAAATATGTGTTTTACTTTATTTGAAATATTTTACTTTTAAGTTATATTTATCATTATGTGCTCAGTAATTCTGGGTACTTTGTTGAGAAGAATAAAACCAGTTGCCCTTTTTATTAGAGTCATAGAATTTTAGAACTTGCAGGAATCTTCATATGACATATTCTGATTTCCATTTTAAGTAGATGAGAAATAGCAAGCTGACTTGGATAAGTTAAAGAGCTGGGACCAGATGTGATTGTCATAGCTCTTCATAATCTACCTTGCTTTTGAGTTTTTGAGTGCCCCACATATATATAATACAGTATCAGACTTGGGTTGTTGTATTCAAATGACAGAATTACTTAATAGAATCTATTTGAACCTATAATTTATGTTTTGCATTCCTTTAGAATAAATATGAAAATCTATTTAAGGATAGCTGGCTATTAATTTGCTTTTTTTCTTTTGAATATATTTCACAATTATACTTTACGTGCTTACAGATTATTGCAGATTTCACTATCAGCTTTAATGCAATCTTCTTTGTGATCATTGTTTTTAGTTACATAATTTGTCATCTTTATCATATATATATATCTATATGGTATATATATATATATATATATATATATATATATATATATATATATCCCAGAAGACAAACAAGGTGATCCAGGTTATGAATATCCATAATTTCTGCATTTTTTGTACTTCACATTCTTTAAAAACATTGAAGACGTTAAACTATTCTTTGAGGCAAATAGCTGACATTAGTGCCAAGAATATATAAAACTTGGTGAATTTATTCTCTAAATCTTTCTCTTCAGATTTTGAATCCACTTGTTTCCAAGGCACAGCTTTCCCAAACCGTTCAATCTCGTTTAGTTAGTTGTAAAATTTTAGGAAAATTGACCAACAAATTTGATGCCCACACGTGAGTATTTGTATTAACTTTTTGTCTACTTTATAAAATTGGATTGATAAAAAATGAATAATAACCATGTGACTAACAATAGATTTGTATTACTCCACATTGCATACAAATTTAGCTGTTTTAGCTTATAGAATTCTCAAAAGTCTACTTGTTCAAATGCATTTCTTCTTGATCTCCTCCTTTTTCAAAACCTTTACTGTTAACTTTTGCCTGGCCGGTGTGGCTTAGTGGTTGAGCATGGACATATGGGAGGTCGTGATTCATTTCCTGGTCAGGGCACATGCCTGGGTTTGAGCTCAATCCCCAGTAGGGGACGTGCAGGAGGCAGCTGATCAAGGATTCTCATAATTAATATTTCTATATCTCTCTCTCACTCCCCCTTCCTTTCTGGCATCAATAAAAATATATTTCTATTTTCCATATTAATCTACTCTGTCACACACCCAGTATAGTTTTGAGGATAAAATGGCATTATTGTATAGACTTCAAAAATTGATTCACATAACATAAGGACAGACTTTCTGCTTTTTTCCATTATTATAAATTACAAATTCATTGTCTTGAATAATGCATCTTATTTGAGGTTTTATAGAGAATGTTTATAATTTGTATGCTACTTTCTGTCCAAATGATAAATCCCAAATGGAAAGATGGAATGGAGTGTAATTATGACAAAAGTTAAAATATAAAATTGAAGAAATTTTGGTTGATGGTTTGGTAGAATCAGATATTCTACTTGCCTGCAGCTTTTTTTTTTTTTTTTTTTTTTTAATCTTAGCTAAATGTTTAACTGCCAATCCAAAATTAACCATTATTTTAAAAACAATCATATACTTAATTTACAGTTACTGATAACATCCAAATGTAATCACTTATGTAAAAATACATAGAAAACTATAAAGCTTTATATTAAAGTATATTAGTTATTATTAAGCTAAGATTTTGATGATAATTGTTTGAAAATATTAATTATTCTAAAACACTCACCCATTTACATGTTTCTTTCCTCTGTAAGCATTAAAAGAGAAATACTTCCCTTGGTAAAATCACTCTGTCAAGATGTAGAATATGAAGTTCGATCTTGTATGTGTCGACAATTAGAAAATATAGCTCAGGGCATTGGGTAAGTAAGCTTTCAATTTCTCATGTCGTACTCTTATTCTGGATAGTCAAACATACGTATTCTGTTTCTGTTTTCCATGGAAGCATGCTAATGAAAGGCTAAACTTTATATGATCTTTTAGAATGATTATAACAACGAGTACCTCCTGATGTGTCTGAATTAAAAGAAATAAAAGTGAAAAAGCTTAGCAATGTGGTAGGCATTCAATTAATGTTAATTTCTTTCCTTCTCATCTTAAGTTACTCAGTTTTCACTCCAAACTCCTTAATCTAGGAAGGGAAAATGCTCCAATATAAACTGTGTGTGCGGTTGTATTTATGAAAAATCATTTCCCTAATTTTGATCTCAGAAGCAGCTTTTGGTGATAGGTCTTCTAAGTCTAGGTTGGCTCTGGATCTTTGGGCCATAATTAATTGTCTTGCCTGGATCCGAGCTTTTTAACCAGTCTTTAAACCTGTTAAGAGAACACGCTGTTGTTGTCTTTTTGTATTTTTTTTTTTTGTCACCTTGTATTTTGCCACTGTGAAATTTGGGCAGGTCATTGTGTGCTCAAATTTGTGTTCTGAAAATTAATTTAGGATTATTGCTTGAAGATTAATTTATAGACGTATAACTAGAAAGAATCTACCTAGCTCATGTAAAGTGCTTAGAGTAGTGCTTGGCACCTTGTAAATATTAGTTAAGTGTTTACTTCTATTGTTATCTCATACATTTTAATATAAACAGCTAATTTCTTAGATTCTCTAAAATTGGAATAAAACAGGTAAAAAATAAGCAAAATTTTAATGTATATTGTAGAACTCAAAAAGACTGAGTTTGTTTCTTCCAGTAGTGCATGAAGATGTTTCCTGCAACTTTACAAATAATTCAGGTTTATCATGAACTTTTCCAATTTCATTGGCAGAAGTAGTATTTCACCATCATTTTGCAAAGATATTATTCAATAACTGCGTCCATGTGACTATATTTCCTTCTAAACTGGAAGCACCTGGAAGACAGAATTATATCTTTTTTGATTGTTACCTCACCCATATGTAGTGCAGTGCTTACGTAAGGCAGTTGCTCATATGTATTCATTCATTCTCTGACAACTGATGATGTTAAACAGTGAGGTTGAATATTTGGCTAGGAGCTACTCGTATTTTGAAGTAGATGGTCGTTTACTTTGCCCATCTGTCACATTCTAAAAGTCGAGGGAAACAAGGCATCATGGCAGACCTACACATATAGGATGCAACTATTTCCCTCCTTCTTTACTTCCTCTTAGCACCCTGGGGTCATTTTTTCAGGAAGTAGGTATGGGCTGTATGTTGCACAAGGTAGTTGATTTAATGAGAGCATTTTTCTCTTGCCTTCACGTGTAAACTCCATCCTGGCCGGTGCAGAATTCTAGATCATAATCCTTTTTACTAAAAACTCTTCTGTTATTTCAGTACATGGAACAGAAGTCTGAGGACAGCCTGATCCTGTTATTTTTGTAGAAGAAGGAATGAGATATAGGGTCAGGGATAAGGAGATGAATGAAATAAATAGCTGAGCTTGTCTAATGGCCAACCAGGAATTCTGGGGCCAGGCTGTGTGAACAACCTACCCCAGCGCTGGCTATGACCTGTGCCATCTGATGGGAGCTGTCTGCTCCAGGTTAGATACTGATGAAGAAGATCCTGCGTTTTATGGTTGGCCAACACAGCAGAATAGTACTGGCGTTTCTTTCTTTCTTTTGTTTTTTTTTGTTAATCCTCACTCATGGATATTTTTTCATTGATTTTTAGAGAGAGTGGAAGGGAAAGGGAGGGACAGAGAGAGAAACATCAATATGAGAGAGACACAACATCGATTGGTTGCCTCCTGCCTACCCCCCGATTTAAATAATTTTGCAGTTAATATTAATATTTATGTTTATATCAAGCTTTCCCAACTAACCTGCAAGTTTCTAGAGAGCAGGAGCCATATCTTATGATTTTTTCTAATTTCCTATAGCATCTAGCCCAGTGACCTGTTTTTAGTAAGTTCTTGCTATAAACGTATTGACTTGATGTATTTTCCTCCGTTGCTTCTGTGCAGGACAGACCTTACAAAAAGCGTGGTGCTCCCCGAGTTAATGGAGCTCTCCAGGGATGAGGGCTGCAGTGTGCGGCTGGCGGCGTTTGAAACCTTGGTCAATCTGCTTGACGTGTTTGACACAGGTAAATCGTCATGTGGACACACCTTTGCTTCCGAAAGCAGTGTTTCCCCTAATTGTGTAGCACTGATAGGAGTAAAGGTGGGCGCAGGACGGAATTTCTTACGTTAAGTTTCATGATGAATGTTAAACTCCCTTTCTATCTCCCGGTGGTGGTTTCTGTGCTGCTGCTCCTGCTCTCCTGGTGCCACTGGCTGCACACTCCACACCTCCCTTTCTCTGGTCAACGTCTAACCGACTGTGTGCAGGGCTAGCAGTTTGGCTTGGTCATTAGCCTTTAACTTGCTCAGCTAATTGACCCTTTAATCAAGAAAGACCTTGATTAAAGCAATATTTAAATTAGTTTCCTCTCCTCAGTATTTTAATACTAGAAATCTCATGGCCCACAGGAGAAGAAATCTGGAATGGGCACTCACATGGGGATGGGTAGGAGGTGTTTCTTAGTGTTGTGCAAATTAAATCACAAAGACAATGAGCTTCTCTCCTGAGTGTGTGACTAGACTCTTGACTAATCCTGGACTGTCTATAGTTTATCGGTAAACATTAACCATTCTGATAAGATGAAATTTGCAGGGGTAAATATCAAGTACTCAGCTATAAAACACGATTGCAGAATTGTAGGATTATATTGACTTGGATTAACAAAATTTTACAAAATTTTTACCAAATTGAAAAAAAAAATTGATTTCAGAGAGAGGAAGGGAGAGGGAGAGAGAGATCAAAACATCAATGAAGAGAGGGGATCACTGACCGGCTGCCTCCTGCACTCTCTGCACTGGAGACAGCCCACAGCCTGAGCCTGTCCTCCTGGTTCATGAGCCACGCTGGCCGGGCTTACCTGAATTTGTAGAGCCTCTTAAAAATGATTGCAATGTGGACAAAAGTTTGTATGAATGTTTTAATTAGTATTTATGCTGTATGATGAGCCAGAGGCATACAAACTGCATTGCACACTGAATGACTGAAAAAATGAATCTCCTTGTCCTAATAATGGGGTTCCCCAGGCATCCAAACTAGAAAATTGGTATCAGCTTTCATCTCTTCCCCTTCTCTGGCCCACACTTGGTGACTGGCAGTTTGGGCCTAACCTGTATTCACGGCTTTATTTCCTCACGTGGCACACCAAATTCTTTCAGACCGTTAGCCTTTCCACATGCTCTTTCTGTTCCTGTTTTTTCTCCCTTCTATTTTCCCCCCTAGCTCATTTCTTCTCCTGCTCCAGGGCCCAGTTCTAATATATTTTCCCCTCTGACATCTTTCCAAATTCCTTCTACCACGGGGTTGGCCAGTTATGGCCTATAGGCCAACTCCGTCCCTGGCTTTATAAGTGAGGTTTATTGGATCATAGCCGTGCCCTCCTGCTTAGGTGTTCTCTGTAGCTGACTTTGTGCCACAGTGACGGAGTTGAGTAGTTTTAGTAGATAAACTGCAAAGCCTAGAAAGTTCACAAAAAAGGCAAACAGCCCCTGCATTATGCCAGCTGTGCAAACTGTGATCACACTGTCTTATGATACTTTTGGCCTCTTTGCTGCTCTCGTTTTCTCAATGCAGAGGTCATTTAACTTTCATCTTTTACTTAATGTTTGTTCTGTAAAAATTAAATAAATGCTTGTTTAAAGAACGTCATTTAGTTAAAACAGTACAGGTGATACTGAAATGTGATTATAATCTTATATGATAAAAGCGTAATATGCTAAGTGTCCGGTTGTCCAGTTGGCCATTCAACCAATCAAAGCATAATATGCTAATGATATATGCTAAGGCCACGCAGTCCCTTACTATGATGTACACTGACCACCAAGGGGCAGTCAACCCGCCACTTGCACTGACCACCAGGGGGCAGATGCTCTGACTGGTAGATTAGCTTGCTGCTGGGGTCTGGCTGATCAGGACTGAGAGAGATGGGCCAGACATGCCCTGGTGCCCTCCTGTGGTCCTTTCCTGGCTGCCCATCTCCTGCGTCTTTCCCTGGCCCCAGTTGTGCACTAACGGGGTCCCTTGGCCGTGGCTGTGCTCTCTCATAATCTGGGACTCCTCAGGTGACGTCGGAGAGCTGGTTCCGCCTGATTCCACAGGCCGGGCCGAGGGACCCCACTGGTGGCCAAATTCATGCACTGGGCCTCTTGTAACAATAACAACAATAACAACAATAACAACAATAACAACAATAACAACAATAACAACAATAACAACAATAACAACAATAACAACAATAACAACAATAACAACAATAACAACAATAACAACAATAACAACAACAACAATAACAACAATAACAACAATAACAACAATAATAACAATAATACAAATAAGCCTGTTACAGCACTTTACTTAGTATTGTCAGACTGACCCTTAATAAAATAGTGATTCATTTCTGAAAGTTTAAGATAACTGGGAAATTCAGAGTATTTAGAATCAAGATTTAAGTATTACTAATATATCAGAAACTTTTGACTTAAGCAGGCATATTCAATAAACAATCAACATTTAAAAAAAGATTTATCTAAGAAGTAATAGTAAAGAAATTCACTGTATAGAACATATTATAAGCTAACTTAATTTCAATAAAAAAGTTGCAGAAAGTCATGAGATGGATGCAAGAGAGAGTCAGAAAGGTGTTCTGTGCCTGCCTCCCATGTATTGGTATTAGCGATATTAAAAAATTTTAATTATTCAGGCTCAAAACCTTAATCATCTTAGCTTTTAAATTTGTAATCACTAAATATTACTAGAGGCCTGGTGCATGAATCTTGTGGGGGTGTGTCTCTCAGCCTGGCCTGCACCCTCTTGCAGTCCAGGAGCCCTTGGGGGATGTCTGACTGATGACTTAGGCCCACTCCTAAGTGGGCCTGAGCCAGGGGGAGTGGGCCTGAGCCGTCAGTCAGACATCCTTAGCTCTGCTGTGGAGGTGGGAGAGGCTCCCGTCACCGCCGCTGTGCTTGCCAGCTGTTAGCTCAGCTCCTGGCTGAGTGGTGCTCCCCTGTAGGAATGCACTGACCATCAGGGGGCAGCTCTTGTATTGAGCGTCTGTCCCCTGGCGGTCAGCGTGCATCATAGAGACTAGTTATTCTGCCATTCGGTCGATTTGCATATTATCCTTTTATTGTATAGGAGTCCCTATGCCCCCGATATACGAGTAAAGTGTAAACCCCTCAGCCTGGCACTAAAGTTTTTAATAATTTCAACTCTCCTCTGACCCTTTCTTCACTATACACTGCCATCTTTATTATTTTCAGAAATTTCTTACTACTGTGTGGCTAGCATAGTAATATTTCTTTCTGGAATTTATGTGTATGTATTAGTTTCCAGATGTGCAGTACAGGCAGTGAATTTAAAATATGTTTTATTTTGGTTTGTTTTCCAGATGATCGAAGTCAAACTATACTCCCCTTAGTGAAAACATTTTGTGAAAAATCTTTCAAAGCAGATGAATCAATTCTTATTTCCTTATCTTTCCACTTAGGAAAACTCTGCCATGGACTATACGGTATGATGTATCCCTAAGAATTTCAAGGTTATAGATAATTTTTCCTTTTTCTTCTACCTTTCTCACTAAACCTCAGCCATTGAGTTGTAAAATTTACCTTTAAGTGTATAAATTCTTAAGAGATCTTAGAGTTTTGGTAGCATAATTTAGAACACATTTAGAAATGATCATTTTTACTAATAGAACCTGTTTGATTTTACATTCCTGAATATTTTATGTGTTAGTTTGTATCTGATAAAAGAAGCTCAGGTATGTTAACTATTGGTACATAGTAAGTATACCCTTATTAATCACCTGTTGTATAATTAATGTATCATATGATAGTTTCAGCTTAGAATGTAGAATAACATAACACTTGGCACTTTGAACATAATTAGTCAGACCTTAGCTTACTATAATAATGTAATCATCAATTAAGTTATAACCACCTAGCATAGTAAAACTTTTTATGTGGATTGTAGACTTCTAATGGGTGATTGAAAAATATATTGAAATTCATACTGAGTTCCAAGCTCCCTAACATAGTTAATGGAACCAGTTTATTGATAAAAAATATTTTGAGTTTACTTTGCCATCTTTCAGATTCAATTTTCAAGCTCTTCTGTAGACATATATACATGTCTTTTTAGCAGTCAATTTAATATATTTACCATGAGTAAGTAGCAATAACAGCCACACTATTAGTATTATAGTGACTTGTTAGATCTGCAGTGTGACTTATGCTGCAGGAATTAATGCAGGCATAATTCTTCCATTGCACAGTTTATGCTACTAAAATTAAAATATTATTAAAATCAACATAAGGTGAAATAGTAGACCCTTTAGATTTCTTAATAACAGTTACCCTTTTTTCCTTGTTGCTTTTATAATATGATCTCTAACCATTTGCTTAAATAATCTGTTCTAATTTGTATTGTACTTTGCTTTTATCTTTTTCATTTTTATTTTCAATTAAAATGTTGAACAAATGTTTTACATTTCTCTAGGAATTTTTACTCCAGATCAACACTTGAGATTTTTGGAGTTTTATAAGAAACTTTGTACATTGGGTTTGCAGCAAGAAAATGGACACAATGAAAACCAGGTTCCATCCCAACTCCTAGAGCAGGAGAAGAAATACATTTCAGTGCGGAAGAACTGTGCATATAACCTACCGGTAATAAATTATATATTTGTTTTGATTCAACATTGTATTATTACTTAAAATTATGCGAATAGATAGCATTAAAAATATTGCCATATTGACACCTGTTGTTTAGCATGGTATATATTTAGGTACCTAGTAAATATTGGCGTGATTGACTTGGACTTCGATGTATAAACTAGAGGCCCAATGCACGAATTCATGCACAGATGGGGTCCCTTAGGTTGGGCTGCAAGGCTGGAGACACAAGCTGGGGCCCAGCGCACACCCCTTGCTTTGCAGCCCCTCAGCTCCACCTGGCACCCCACCTTGGCCTGGTGCCACTCCCTCACCTGCTCTTGACGGGTCCATCAGGGCTGGCAACGCCTCCAGTGCCTCCCACCGTCAGTGCCACCAACTGCCAGCCCTGCATCGCAGGCTCCTGCCGTGTTCCACGCTGCTTCCTGGTGGTCAGCGCATGTCGTAGCAAGAGGTCAAACTTCCAGTTGAGGGGACAATTTGCATATTAGGCTTTTATTATATAAGATTAGAATTATATGCGTACATTTGGATCTCCCAAATATAATTTCTGAGTAAATTATGATTCAGAGGACATGATTTCAATTGAAGTGAAATGATTATGATATTATGTATAGATGCATGCTTTTCTCTCCTTCCACCTCCACCAGGCCATGATTGTTTTTGTTGACCCTAAAAATTTCCAATTGGAACTCTATTCTACATTCTTCTGCCTTTGTCATGACCCTGAAGTACCAGTCAGATACACCATTGCCATTTGCTTTTATGAAGTAAGTCTGAAGAAGTGATATATTTGTTGTTAGTTCTACCTATTTAACTAGATGATTATTTGGTATCTTGTACACTTCTATTTATAGATGTATTAGAAAATATTTCACAGTCTAGTCCTAAATCTGATAAACTCGGTTTCCTGCACTTCCATGTCTTATGTTTGTTTCTCACCCTCATATGCCCGCACACTTTAGCATGTTATAGCAGACTATAAAGCAAGTTATGTATGCAAGTAATCTTTCTCGAAATCTAATGTTATATTTATGTTTTAACCTAGTCTCATTTTAGAAGACTTATCTAACAGGGATGTAATTTTAAGAATTATTATTACAGCCTTTATATGTCTAGTAGAGTCAAATCTGAGAGACTTTATTGTTAAATTTTAGGTGTCTAAACTTCTGAATTCCGGAGTATATTTAATACATAAAGAATTAATAACATTATTACAAGACGAATCACTGGAGGTAATATTTTCTTATTCTTTGAGTTTTACTTGTGTTATGTTAAGTCTGAGCACATCAGTGCCTTCCTCTACTTCCTGGGAATTGTATAGCCTTTCAGCTGGCCACCCCCAGAACCCTGGAGTCCATTACCACTGTATAAGAGACTGAAAGCTGGGAAGGTCTCTTATAAAAATTAGATTTTAAAATATATTCAGTTAAAAAAATATATGTATATAGGATGTTCCCCCCCAAATCTATACGCTACTAAAAGCTGATAGCTCAATTCATGTATGTTTCTTTTCAGATTTAATCCATTGGAATTAATAATTATTCAAAGTGTGTTTACATTTTTTGGGGACATCCTATATGTACACACATATTTGTTTGTTCAGGAAAATTTTGGAAATGCCAAAAAGTAGACAAACTTTTAAAAGAATGAGTACCTTTAAAGAGTGAGTACTTTTAAAAGAGTGAGTTCCAATCACTATTAGTATTTTGTTAAATTTTTTTATTTTTTCTATATAAAGGTTTTATTTTACACAATTGTAACCCTATGTTATATCACATTTTATATCTTTTTTTCTCTAAGCATTACATGGGGAGTACACTTGAAATACTTAATTTTGATGTGATAGTATATTCTAGTCACCTAAATGATACTAGCTTGCTAAAGCACCACCAAGGGCGCTTTTCAAACGTGTTTGAGCAGTTCGGTGTGTAGCTGTCTCAGATCTAGACTGTTTAAACATAGTAAGAGGCAATACAGTTTATTATAGGTTAGTATAGTGTGATGGTGACAGGTAGTTTGATCAAGGCAGGTGATCATGTCTCCATGACCCTCCAGGAAGATGGCAGGCAAGTAAGAAAGTGGAACCCCAGAATGTTGTTGGATAAATGGCACTGTTTCTGTGTAGGAGTTGACATGTGAAGTTAACTAATCTAAGATCAGAAAAACATTGTAATTGCCACAAGAATAATCAATATCTCTATTAAAAGGTCCTAGATGCTCTTATAGATCATCTTCCAGAAATCTTGGAACTTATGTCTACTGGCGGAGAAAGCAGTATTCAAGAAAGTAAGGTAATCCCATATGTCAGAAAGTTTCTGAACGCTGTAAAGTGCTATCTTTCTCTGCAGGGTTGAGAGGAGTCAGTGAAAGGCTGTGTGGAGACACTTAAAATAGTGCTTGGCACATAGTAGTTGCTCAGTAAATGCCTGTTGGAGTTTACGCAGCTTGAATTTCCTCTACAATTCTTATACTACCACGGCTTGATTTGCAGTCCTTAGAATTTTTTATGTTTCAGCTTTATTGATTTCAGAGAGGAAGGGAGAGAGAGAGAAATAGAAACATCGATGATGAGAGAGAATCATCGATCCACTGCCTCCTACATGACCCCTAATGGGGCTTGAGCCTGCAACCGTGCATGTGCCCCTGACCAGAGTTGAACCCAGGACCCTCTGTCTGCAGGCCAATGCTCCACCTACTGAGCAAAACCAGCCAGGGCAACTTTACTTTAATTAGAAGGGTTGTGAGAATCCCAGTCTCTATTTCAAAATTTTGTTTCCAACAACTAGTAAATTTTATTTTTGGCTATATTTTTAAAAATATATATATTTTATTGAATTTTTACAGAGAGGAAGAGAGAGGGAAGGGGAATATCATCAATGAGAGAGAAACATTGATCAGCTGCCTCTTGCACGCCCCCTATTGGGGATGTGCCGGCAACCAAGGAACGTGCCCTTGACTGGGAATCAAACCTGGAACCTTTCAGTCCACAGGCCTGCGCTCTATCCATTGACCCAAACCGGCCAGGGCTTTTGATATTTTTTAAAGCATTTAATTTAATCAGATTATTATCTCCCTGTGACAGAGATGCCTTCTATGTTCGGAAACGAACAAGAGCATTGCCTCCCTCAGTGCTGTTAGCTGACGAATCTGACGGAATCCTGCCCGGGAGTTATTGTCGCTGGTTTTCGGTGTGTTTCCGTTTCAGTTGCCGTCCCTGCCTGACTTGATTCCAGCACTCACGGCTGCTGAACAGCGGGCTGCGGCCTCTTTGAAATGGAGAATCCACGAGAAGTTGCTACAGAAATATGCCTGTCTGCCGCACGTCATATCAAGTGACCAGATTTATTACCGTTTCTTACAAAGAATGTTCACAATCATGATGACCAATGTGAGCCCCTCGCCTTTACCTTCCTCTTTGGGGTTCCTAGCACGGTTTTCACATTCTTTAGACGGCGAGCACCCCGCTCCTTCCATTGCCGGAAGGAGCCTTTTCCTGCTTGGCTTCTCCCTCGGGCATCTTCTGCCCGCGGGAGAGGAGGGAACCGTGACACCTTCACTCACCTGTCTGCATAGCGCCAGGGAGAGGTCGGTACGCGCACCTCGGCCCGATGCGGTCTGTCTGTCCCCAGCGGAAGGCTGACAGGAGCATGCCACCCCGACTGCCAGTGCCCTTCTGCTCCGAGGAACACCTTTTATGTGTCCTGGCCTCTGCCCACTTCCACCCTGCCATTTAGGCAGGGTTCCCTCGGTCCCCTTAATATTAGTTTGGCTGTTTCTTAAAAATAGCACCTAGAGTGGCTGTGTAACAGGCAAAGCTTATACCAAAAGCATGGAGCCCTTCCAGGGGTAACTTTAACATTTGAATCAGAAGCGGGCAGGTGGGCGGGCAGTGAGAGGAGCAGGAGAGGTGTACGTAAACTTCCCCATTGCCTAGCTGTCTGCCCTTTGTCACAGGAATTCCCAGAGGGGATCACGTAACCCACAGCTCACTGTGCGTTTTACATGACATCCTACAACCACTGTTTGAAGTATAAGAATTTCCATATAAATACATCTTAGACACTGTTAAAAATGTACTTTAAATTCTCATTGTTCTCAGTAAAAGGGAGAGAATGAAATCTAGCAGTCATCTCAAAAACCCAAATTAGTTTCGGCTTCAAAGACTAAAACGAGAGAAAAAATGGCATTGGTGTCATTTACTAGTTAAGTTTAAAAGTTTTAGGCATATGTCTCATGGACTAACACTTCTACAAGCTGATTTCATGTATCAAAGCAAAGCATGGAGGATGAAGGTACAGACAGAGAGAAAGGCTGCCAGTGACTTTGGTAACAGTCACGTCCTTGGCCGAAGTCACTGCAGGAGTGCGACATTGGAACTTCACATAGCACTGAGCAGGCTTACTGGCTATTCTATGCAGATATTACTTTTCTGAGTGCCTGCTCTCTGTCGGGCACTAAGAGGTGGGACACAGGAGTGACCAAGACAGACAGAGCCCTGCTCTAGTGGAGCTTGTGTTCTGAGGAGGTGGTGGTGGTGAGGAGAGGGATAGGTGATAAGATAAGTGAATATACCAGTATTTACACGTACTAAAGAGTGCTATGAAGTTTGGCCTTATTTTCTCAATTTAATTACTTAGTAGGTATGTTTTGTATTTAGAAAACTAAGACTACATAATGACTCCTTATCTTTAGCTTCTCTTACGAGGAAAGATAAATGATTTGTTACCATAGAGTGTGAAAAAAATACTTTTAAGCCTCAGAGATTTGTCTTATTGTTCTCTTTCACAAGGAGGTAATTCCACACAGAAAAAGAGATACATGATTATTACCGCACACTTCTTATGACCGAAGAAGACACTCCTGTTTCAGTATTCTCTGGAGAAAAGAAAAATTTACGTTTAGTTTTATATCTAACTAGAGGCCCGGTGCATGAAATTTGTGCATGGGTGTGTGTGTTCCTCAGCCCAGCCGGCACCCTCTCCAATCTGGGGCCCCTTAAGGGATGTCCGACTGCCCGGCCAAACCGGCAGTTGGACATCCCTCTCACAATCCAGGACTGCTGGCTCCCAACTGCTCGCCTGCCTGCCTGCCTGATTGCCCCTAACCATTCTGCCTGCTAGCCTGCTCACGCCCTAACCCCACTCCCATGCCAGCCTGATTGATGCCTAACTGCTCCCCTGTCAGCCTTATCACCTCTACTTTCCCCTTGCAGGCCTGGTCCCCCCAACTGCCCTTTCCTGCAGGCCTGGTTGCCCACAACTACCCTCCCTTGCTGGCCATCTTGTGGTGGCCATCTTTGACTACATGGGGGCAACCATCTTGTGCTATGGTATGAGGAGCAATTAGCATATTCCCTCTTTATTATATAGGATACTGTAGAGTACAAATATCTGTATTTTTCATGTAAGTAACATATATTCATTTGAAATTCTATTATATACACAAAACAAGAATACTTTGTTCATGTATCTAGGGTTTTTTGTTTGTTTGTTTATTTTTTAATTTTGTGGTATTTCTGTTTATGTGTACTTCTTAAATTTCCTGTCCTAATTTGTAGTGAACATTTCTTTTTTACATTCAATACATTAAAAACACTACACAGAATAGCATCTCATACAATGCAAACAGTTTTATAGAATACTAGAGGCCAGGTGCACAGATTAGTGCCCGGGTAGGGTCCCTCAGCCTGGCCTGCACCCTCTTGCAATCTAAGATCCCTTGGGGGCTGTCGGAGAGCTGGTTTTGGCCTGGTCCCCACAGGCCAAGCTGAGGGACCCCACCAGTTCACTGGGCCTCTAGTATGCATATAAGATATTTGCTTAATCTCTTCCCACCTTCCCCCCTTTCTCCCTTCCCTCCAAGATTCATCATCTGTTCCATGTTTCCATGCCTGTGCATTGACTGTCTGCTCCCTGGTGGTCATTGCATGTCATAGCGGCCAGCCAGTTGCTTAGGCTTTCATATATATAATGAGATAGCAGGCAATGTTCTCTCAGCAATGTAAAGTTTTATTCTACTTGAATTTTAAAGCTCCCCATTATAGTAATCTGAATCTTCAAGAATTGAATATTATAATGCTTACTAGAGGCCCTGGGCGTGAGGTCCGGCCAGCTCTACCCTGTGGGGCCGATCAGGCCGGGCCGGCATAGGGGAGAACATGGGTGGGTGATCAGCTGGCCCTACCCCCTATCAAAGTGGTTGAGGGGACAATTGCTTATTAGCCTCTATTACACAGGGTATGTCAGCCAGGATGGTGAGCATGAACTAATACAGGACACAATACAGGAGGGGCAAAAGTAGGCTTACAGTTATAAGTCTGCAAAACAGTTTATTCTTGTATTATTATTTATTGATTATTATATTATTGTCCATATGAACAACTGTAAAGCTACCTTTGCCCCACCCTGTATATCTGGTTAAAAAATTTTTCTCTAACAAGTATCTGGAGCCAAAACCTGATATAGGTGGATGGTTGAATTCATTTACAATTGAGGTTCCCAGTGGTGGGACAGAAATTCAAAGGACAACACTGCAAGAGTGACATGGTGTCCTTTGGATTCCAAGCTTTATGATCGTGCGATGGCCAGGGATCACAGTCAATGGCAGGGAGGCTGAAGAGCCAGAGTGAGCCAGAGGAATGAAGAACATACCTCATCATGGGAATCTCTAAATGTATATTGTAGAAGTGGCACATTTTCAGTGGTGTGCCCGAGGCAGGGAATGTTCTAGCTAAAGTTTCTGAGTGTCTGGTCCAGGGAATGACTAAGAGAATGTATTTGGTGATATTGTCATTTATGATGAAGTGGCAAGAAACTATGAATCAAACAGTTAAATATGAATCAAACCTGGATGATATGGAAATGACTGTGCCAAATTAAATTAACTTTGTCATGTGATGTATTACAGAGACAAGTTGGTTTGTCTGAATGATATTAACGTTAAATTATGAAGACATCAGAGGGCTATGAGTACAGTGATTGGAGAAGCAGATTGCACTGCTCTTTTACTCAGTAACTTAAAATTGACTTGTGGGCCACGTTATTCAGAATGTATACTCATAGACTAGCTTAATTGTCTTTCTTGTTTCTTTAAGAAAGTCTTACCTGTCCAGAAGGCAGCGTCACGAACTTTATGCATTTTTTTACGTTACAATCGTAAACAAGAACAGAGACTTGAGGTCATTCAAAAATTAATTGAACGTGAGTAATCATTGTCTGATATTTTGAAAAAAGGTAAACAAAGTAGTTGGTCTTAATTATCTCTGCGTATCATTTTGCCGTGAGTGGTTGGGCTGATGTTGGTAATACCTAGAGTGCTTGTGTTTCAGTGTCACAGGGAATTTTTTGGTTTGTTTTGGAAATCTGTATGACAGGATCAGAGTGTGATGAATGAAAATAATAATTATTCTGGGCCTTTTTTGTGTGTGAATTTCTGCAATTGAGAACTTAAAATATGTATACTTTTGCTGAAAGCCTACTTTCGCCCCTAATGAAAAATAATTTGAAACTAAAATATAAAAAGAATATCCATAAATCTAAGCATTTATCTCTCTATTTTAAATATTAACCATGAGTGTTTTTGTTTGTTTGTTTGTTTGTTTGTTTTCTTGAATAGAGTTGAATAAATATGAATCTGTGAGTCTAGGTGGCTTATAATGTGTTAAAAATTAAGTCAATTAACAAATGCAAATTTATTTTAATTTGCTAAGGGCCAAAATCAAGACAAAAACCTTTAGTGGAAGTGTTAATTCTAAAAATAGTGGCCTACATCTATATCTACTTAGTGAATTTGTTAATTATTATATACTTGCTTTGATAATCATGTCTTTAAGCTTTTATTAAACTGTTGTCCAGCATAGGCAGGTAAAGAGATTTTCTAATTATTTCTGGAGTTTACCATTTTAAGTATAGGTTGCTGCTTTTCAAAACATTAGAGTACATAAAATTTCATTTATGAAAAGTTATGCTTAGTATATTTTAATGTTTCATTTTTTAGTCTATTTTAATTAAATTTTTATTTTTAATTGGGTAGGACCTTACATTTAAAATGTTTTATTGATTTATTTTTATTGATTGACTTTAGAGAGGCGAGAAAAGAGAGAGAATCATAAATTTGTTATCCCACTTATTTACATATTCATTGCTTGATTCTTATATGTACCCTGACTGGGGATCAAACCCACAGCCTTGGTGTATGGTCACAATGCTCTCACCAACTGAGCTACCTGGCCAGGGCTAAACTTTTTCATTTTAAAAGAATTTGGTTTTAAATATTAAAAATATTGCCTTTGAACATTTATATAATAAGGGAGAAAATTATTCTTTTAATTTGATCTGAATTATTTTAATAGTACGTATTTACATATGACTCTTTACTTCAAAGCATTTTAAGTAAAGGAGGAAGAAAACAGTTGATTTGGTTGCTGAAAGGTTTTGAAGTGACACATACCTATGTTTGAATTCTAGCTCTGCACTTACCCGCTCTGCCACTGCAATGTCTTTGAACCTCAGTATCCTTATCTTTTAGGAGGATAAGTAGAGCTCATCCCATTGGATTGTTTTCCAGGAATGAATGAGATAATATGTTTAAAGTACTTAGCACATAGTGGATGATCAAAAATAGTGGATGTATCATTCAATATTTACTAAATTCTCATGGGATTGAATGCAATGTTTAATAGATTTTTTCCCTGTTTTTTTGAGGTATTATTAACTTAGGGAGATTTACAAACCTGGGGTATATAATATAATAGTTTTCTCTTATCTCTTCTATTTGCTAAATAAATTGTGGGTATAAAGAAATATGGCATAGGTTTTATGTCTGATTCTGCCATATGTATTTTCATGTAGGAAAAATTAAACTTATGTTAATTTTTTTGGTTTTGTTTTTAGAACTGGGCCAAGGAAAAAGTTACTGGAATAGACTTCGATTTTTGGATACCTGTGAATTTATTATAGAGCTCTTTTCCAAATCGTTTTTCTGTAAATATTTTTTTCTGCCTGTTATTGAACTGACACATGATCCAGTAGCAAATGTGAGGTATGGTTATCAATCCAAGAAAATATTTGAAAAAATGTATTTTCATGTATCTACTATAATAAACATACCGGTATGCAAAATGTTTTTCTTAGTCAATCCACAATGGGGACCTGCAGGAGGCAGCCAGTCAGTGATTCTCTCTCATCATTGATGTTTTTATCTCTCTCTCCCCCCACCACTTTCTGAAATCAATAAAAATATAAAAAACAAACAAAACCCTAAGTCAGATAACTTCACTCCTCTGCTCAAACCTCCCTGGCTTCCCCTTGCACTGTAAACACAAAGCCGGTCTCAGGAGAGTGGCCTCCTGCTGCTGCTCAAAGTTCTGCTGACCTCACTCTGCCCACTCTGCCCTCTCATCCAGTTGGCCAATTTGCTCATTTGGGCAGCACCTAGGCAAGCTGTCCCTATAGGACATTTTCTCTCACTGCAGCCACTGCCTGCAATGTTCAGGTATTCCTGTGACTCATTCCCTCATTTATTTATTATTATTATTATTTTTTAGGTCTTTGCTTAAATGTCATCTTTTCAGTGAAACCTTCACTGAAACCCTCTCTGACCACCTGTTTTAAAATCGTAACTCCCCTCCTCCGGTTCTCCCCTGTCTTTTCCCATGTAGTTTTTCTCTACAGCACCACCACTCTCTGACATTTTCCTTTGTTTATCCTCCCTCCCCCCCCTCGTGCTAGCGTGAGCTCCAGGGCACCAGAGGCTTCCGCTGCTGTCACTCACCTTTGCACCCAGCGCCAGATACTCCGCTCATTCCAGGCGCTCCATAAGCACTTGTTGCATAAGAAATGCACTCTCAGGCCACCTACAACGGGGCTTTTTCTTTCAGTTTTATGTCAATCTTATTCTACAGTAATTAAATTTAAGTTATACATTTACTCACAAGTAAATAGCATTTACTTTGTTATAGAATGAAACTTTGCTACTTGTTGCCCAAAGTGAAATCTACTCTGAAGATCCCTGAAGATAAACACCTTCTTCAGCAGTTAGAGATGTGCGTGAGGAGGCTTCTGTGTCAAGAAAAAGACAGAGACGTCCTGGCTATTGTAAAAAGGGTACGTCTCCTGCTCGCCTCAACATTTGTATTTCTTGCATTATGACAGTCTTTATCAGTCCAGCTGGTGTGGCTCAGTTAGTTGGGCATTGTCCCGTGTACCGAGAAGTTGCCAGTTTGATTCCCAGTCTGGGCACATGCCCAGGGTTTGCTCGGATCCTGGTAGGAGGCACTGATTGATGTTTTGATCTGATATCACTGTTTCTCTCTCTCCCTCTTCCATCCTCTCACTTTTAAAATCAATAAACTATTTAAAAAAGGATAATGTGCCGAGACCGGTTGGGCTCAGTGGATAGAGCGTCGGCCTGCGGACTGAAAGGTCCCAGGTTCGATTCCGGTCAAGGGCATGTACCTTGGTTGCAGGCACATCCCCAGTAGGGGTGGTGCGGATGATCGATGATTCTCTCTCATCGATGTTTCTAACTCTCTATTCCTCTCTCTTCCTCTCTGTAAAAAATCAATAAGATATATTTTTAAAAGGATAATCTTTATATCTTCACTGTTTTAGCTTGATGGGATGGCACTATGTTAAGATCTTTATATTCTTGCTAGAGTACTAAGAATTCGTAACTGATTTGGTTGATTTGTGCTACAATTGGGTATGAAAGTTGGCACTCGATAGGTATTATTAGTAATAATATAAGCTCCACAAGAGAGAGCTTGGCACATTTTTGGTGCTCAATAAATACTGTTCAACTAGTAATGAATACTTCATTCACCAGACTTTACTTACAAGCAGTTATAATCTGGAGGGAAAGCTTTGTTGGTAAAATGGAAAAGGCACATTTATGGACATTTAGCCACGGAGGGGCCCTCTGCGGTAATTCAGTGCGTTTGACTTCACAGAAGGTATAGACCTAGAAATATTAAGTGTCTGCTTCAGATCATCTTAGGAGTGACAGAAATAGGACTAGAGTATAGATCTCTTACTCCCAAGTGCATCCTTTTTTCAATAAAGTAACATTGTGTCTTATGGGTTTTTTTGTATTAGTCTGTGATCTTATTATAGGGATTGTTTGGGAATGGAACACTAAAACAGTCAGAATTTTGATTTGTGAAGTCAAACCTTAAAATACTTTAATCTTCAAAAACTGTTTTATGCCTGATATATAACTAATGCTAATCCTATATATAATAATAAAAGCCTAATATGATAAGTGTCTGACCATTCGCTCAATCATTTGGTTAGTCATTATGATGCACACTGACCACCAGGGGTCATTCCAGGCGCTTCGACCAGTAGGTTAGCTTGCTGCTGGGGTTTGGCTGATTGGGCCTGGGCAAAAGGGCCAGACACGCCCTGGAGCCCTATCGCGATCCCTCCTCAGTCCCAATTGTGCACCAGTGGGGTTCCTTGGCCTGGCCTGGGCCCTCTCACAATCAGGACCTCTCGGGGTATGTCAGAGAGCTGGTTTCGGCCTAATCCCCACAGGCCAGGCTGAGGAACCCCATGAGTACACGAATCTGTGTACCAGGTCTAGTGTTTTTATAAGATTAAGCCAAATTAAAGTGATTGCTTTTTGCCCTAGCTATTAATAGTTTGGTTCTGGATAGAGAGTTGGCCAGGACTCAAGGGTCATGGGTTTAATTCTAGTCAAGGGCATATGCCTTGGTCAATTGATGTGTGTCTCTCACATCAATGTTTCTCTCTCTCTGTCCCTTCCTTCCCTTCCTCTTGCTCTAAAAGTTAATGAAAAAATATCCTTGGGTGAGAATTAACAACAACAAAAAAGTGGTTGCTTTTATGAATATTAATGTGAACTTTAGGACACATAGTTTTTGAGAATTTATTTATATTGAGAGAAATTAATTTATTAATGTCTTAAATAATCACATTGATTTGAGAAAAAGAATTCCTTGTATGTGTTTTTTCTTTCTTTTTTCCCCTTAGGAATAATTTCCAGTGTCACATGAGGAACTTTTTAATAAAGTGACTTGATAACTTAATATTAATTAGTATAAGTTTATTTTACTGAGATGTGAATTTCTCTTCATCAACTGAAATAACCAGAAATAGCCAGCACCCGGACATGCATCTAAATTTAAACACATACACACACACATATATACACACACACACACACATACACACAAGCACACTTGTTTCTATCAGATAATTCTGACCTTGCTATTAATTACAGAAGTTTAGGCAAGGAAGTTAATATGCTACATGAGAGGGTTCGTTACTTTTCTGGAAGAATCTGTTAGCATGAAATAATATAAACTAACCCATAAATAAGTACGGAAATGATATAATTAAATTAATGGATTACAATGGATTATTCTGGAATACTCTTATTTTGAGTATGAAGTCAATCTGTCCCATCAAAATTCTGTAATACAATGTTATCATACAACTTTATACTGAAGAGTTGATATGAGGACCTTTGAGAGAAGCTACACAAAGCTTCGGATGAAAATGGAGTAACTGACTCTTATCAGTTTTTTAAGATGGGAAGTAACTTTATTTAACAGATATTTCATGGCATAAATTTTCAAATTTTTGTCAATTTCAGCATAAAAATAAAAATTTATATATAAGTATACTTATATGTATAAGTATATATATATATATATATATATATATATATATATATATATATATATATAAATCATGCAGTGGGGGGGTTCCCTCAGCCTGGCCTGCACCTTCTCTCAGTCCGGGACCCCTGAAGGGATGTCCACTTGTCAGCTTAGGCCTGCTCTCGCTAGGGATTGGGCCTAAGCCGGCAGTCAGACATTCCTCTTGCAATTGGGACCCCTCGCTCCTTACAGCCCACCTGCAGCAGAGGCGGGAGAGGGTCCCGCCATCACCTCTGCACTCACTAGCCATGAGCCCAGCTTCTGGCTGAGCAGTGCTCCCCCTGTGGGAACACACTGACCACCAGGGGGCAGCTCCTGCATTGAGTGTCTGCCCCCTGGTGGTCAGCATGCATCATAGTGACTGGTTGTTCCACCATTCGATTTGCATATTAGGGTTTTATTATATAGGATTATGTTTGCAACAGATAGCTTTGGCTTATGAATGTGTAGATGTACTTTATTTTGGCCATTAGAGTTACTTTATTAGAGAAGTACTCTACTCTGTCAGAGATAGAGCCCTGGGGTAGATAGATCATTGTTAGATTGAAATAATTGGTGTCAGACCAGTATATTCTAAAAGACAAATATTACATTGAGAGAATGAATTCAGAATAAAGTCTCTTCTGTTGATTAGAGTGTCATATTAATCAAAAGTTTCTGTAGGAAGGAAAGGAATTAAGAATTTTAAGCCAAATGACAGATTACTTGATATATATTTAGCTAAGATGTGTTTTTAAAGTCCAAAAATTATACTGTATTTCTGAAAATTCCGAAGAGTGGCATTGGGAATTATTAGAAATTAGTTAAATTGCATATGTTTAGTATGTAAAATATTCCTCTAGACTTGCTCTTATTTTTTCAAAAAATGTTTATTGATTTCAGAGAGGAAGGTGGAGGGAGAGAAAGAGATAGAAATATCCATGATGAGAGAGAATCATTGATGGGCTGCCTCCTACACACCCCACACTGGGGATCAAGCCCGTAACCCTAGCACATGCCCTGACTGGGAATTGAACTGTGACTTCCTAGCTTATGGGTCGGCACTCAACCACTGAACCATATTGGCCAGGCGTAGACTGCTCTTCTTAAAGTAAAAAACTTTAAAAGTTTAAATAGATCCTGGCATTAAAACTATAGAGATTGAAGAAAAATAAAAATATATTATGTAGAATTTGGAAGAACTTTAAAAGATTTCTAACTAACCTTATACATAGTGAAGAAGTCTCTTATTTGAAACTCCCTCTGGAAACAGTCTTTTTGTGAAATGATGGTTGATTTAATTACCATTGAATATTTTAAAAACTTTCTTTACAGACTGTGTTAGAGTTGGACAGAATGGAAATGTCTATGGATGCTGTAAGTATACGCTCTTTGCTTTTATTCTTAAAAGTTAACATACACTCATCATTAATGTTTCACAATTTCATTTTAAACATAAACTTAGTTTCAGAACAAGTTTTATGAGAAAGATTTGTTGGATCAAGAGAAAGAAAGAGAAGAACTACTTCTTTTGGAAATGGTATGTTATTTCTACATGCACATACACATATTTTTTTTCTCACCAATATTACATATGCTTTGTTAATAAACCTATTAAACAATTTCTTTCAATTTTACACTACTTTTTTTCTTTCTAAATCATGAAAGAGTCCTTTTTTTTTTTTAATCCTCACTGAAGGATATTTTTTCCATTGATTTCTAGAGAGAGAATAAGGGAGGAGGGGGAGAAAGAGAGAAACATCAACATGAGAGAGACACATGGATTGGTTGCCTCCGGCACTTGCCCCTACCAGGACCGAAGAACCTGCAACCACAACCAAAGTATGTGCCCTTGACTGGAAGTTGAACCCACAATCCTTTGGTCTGTATGCTGACGCTCTAACCACTGAACAAATCAGCCAGGGCAAGAGTTCTGATCTTTTGATATCTGTGATTTTATGATCTATAAGGAAAGTGATATTTGAAAGGCTTTAAAAACTATGTTATTTAAGTATTATTGACATACAATTAACTATATGTGTTAGGTGTACATTTGAGGAATTTTAACATATACGTGTATCTATGAAACCATCAACACAATTGAAACTCCAAACATTTTCATTCCTTTAAAGGCTTCCCATGTCCCTTTATGATTCCCACCTTTTACTGCAGTCCCCAGAAAGCATTACTCTAGTTTCTGTCACTACAAATTAGTTTACAACGAGAATTTATATAAATTTAACAATGTTATGTGATCTTTTTTGTCATGCTTTTTTCCATCATCATAATTTATTTTGATATGAAGTTTAGAATCAGTTTGTTCATTTCTATAAAAAGCCTGCTAGAATTTTTGTGAGGATTGTGTTAATTAGGATTGATCTACAGATCAGTTTGGAGAATTGCCATTTAACATGAGCCTTCCTAATTCATGAACTATGTCTTCCCCTCCATTTATGTAGCCTCCTTTACTTTTTTAAAGTTTTATTTTATTGTTTAAAGTATTACATATACTATTAAATATGTCACCTTTTCCTCCATTGACCTCCCCCGTCACCCCTAATCTCTAGCCTCCTTTACTTTTTCTCATAGTGTAGCATTCAAGGAAGTCTTTGTTAGCTTTATTTCTAAGTATATTATGTTTTTGGTATCATTTGAGATAATATAAGCTAAAATTTTTAATTTCACTTTCTAGTTCAGGATTAAGACTAAGAGAGCTCTAAAATTTTTTTAGAACTGAATGATTTATGCCTAAGAGAAAAATCAGGCAATAGAAAAAGACCCATAGATGATCCTGATACTGGAGTTAGCAGACAAGGACTTTAGGATAACTAGGATTACTATGATCAAGATAATAGAAGAAAAGATAGAGAAATAGATAACATTGCTGTTAGCAGATAACTCTTAATGATATTTTATTTTTCAGTTTTATATTTTTTATTTTTGGTATAGGATTTTCATTTGCTTCTTTTTATGGAGATTTTTTTGTTTTTTGTTTTTTTGTTAATCCTCAACCACGCATATTTTTTTAAAATTAATTTTTAAACAGTGGAAGGGAAGGAAAGAGGAGAGAGAGGAGAGAAAGGGATGGAGGAGAGAGACAGACAGACAGACAGACAGATATCAATGTGAGAAAGACACATTGCTTGATTGTCTCCCTCACATGCCCTGAATGAGGCTGGTAATAGGACCTACAACCCAGGTATGTGCCCTTGACCAGGAATTGAATCCAGACCCTTTGGTGTGTGGTGGACTTTCCAAACGCTAAGTCACACCGGCCAGGGCTGTATGGGCATTTTTATCTTGTCTCCTTTCTTCATCTTTTTCATTATTTCACAGGTGCACTTGAAAAGAATGTGTGTGTGTGTGTGTGTGTGTGTGTGTGTGTGTGTATAGTTTTGGTAATGTTTTATATCCTGATCTATCAGCTGATGTGGCTATATAGGTGTGTTCATTTTGGGAAAAATTTATTGAGCTGTGCTCTTACAATTTATGTACTTTATATTATACTTCAATAAGACACTTTTAATATGTCCCAAAGACTATTTCCTTTCCTCTCAGTCTTTTAAAAGAAAAACAATTTGCTCTGCCAGGGTGGCTCAGTGGTTGAGCACCAGAAGTCACTGGTTCGATTCCTGGTCAGCGCACATGCCTGGGCTGTGGGCTTGGGGTGTGCAGGAGGCAGCCAGCCAATTGATGTTTCTATCTCTCTATCCCTCTCCCTAAAATAAATAAAAACATATTTGAAAGAAAACAAAACACATTATTTTGTTATTTATCAATCAGAAATGGGAATGACCAATAGTAACAAATATTTTGCTGAGAATCAGTAACTACATCTTAGAAAGTAAAGAGCCATTCCCACAATGTTACTAAACACCTTGTTTTAGCCTAACAAGTCCTCAAAAGCACAATTCCTGAGATGTAAAAAAAAAAAAAAAAACCCACAAAAAAACCCACAAAACACAAATCTGAAAGAAACTGGAGACACTAATTTGGGGGGAAAGAAAAAACTTTTTAAAGGATTTTTATAAACAATATTTGTTTCTCTAGAACTTAGAGTAATTTCTCCTTAGAACATTTTTTCTAAATCTATTTATGCTTACCTTTAATGCTCAGATACTATTTTAATAATAGGAACAATTAGAGAAAGAGAAGCAACAAGATGGAAGGCCTGTGAATGAGAAAACCTTCGAAAAGAAACGTAAGTAGTGTTCTTGTGTCTTCACCGCTAACTCACACAAACCGTGTTTAATCCTGGCCTCTGAAAGACCATGCTAGTTTTCCATGGAAAATTGCTTTTACTTCTAAAGTAGTTTTAAAAAACTGGCTGCCTAATGTCTGGATGCTAAGAGTACGTGAATAAGGGGTGGGGATCGGTGTGGAGTTTCAGATCCTGCAAAGGAAAGTGACAGCAGCCATGAGAATGTGAAATGGGTCACCGGATGACTGAGATGGAAATGTGTACACGTGCAGGGTACGCACACGCGGAAAGAATGCTGCTTAGCAAGGGACGTGCTCCCTTGTTTCTGTGGCCTGTGTGTTTGTGAGGTGAGGAAGCACCCGAGGCCGTGACAGCTCTCACAGCAGAGTTTGTTTTAGGCAGAGACATCAAGACACCAACAGCGCCGCCCAAGAGCGTCCCCGCTGCTGTGGCCGGGCCCTCGGCCAGCACCACGTCCACGGCGGCAGGTAAGGGACGGCTCTCTGTCCCGTTTCCTCTGTAGGAAGCAGTTACAGGGACGTTACCTCCTCAGAGCAGAGGCGTCACTCTAAGGCACCCTTTCCTCTTATGTTTGCTTCGGGAGTTCTTACTGGACAGCTGGGAGAAAGATTCCCCAATAGCTCAGACCGAGGAGAGGAAGCTAGGCCCGTCTGTGTGAACTGAAACGGTGGGAGTGGGAGATGGGCCTCTCCCACAACGGTGGGCGTGGGGCCTCTCAAGGTGAAGTGAACAGTTACATTTTCCTTCTCTTGTTACTCTAGGCAAGGAAATCAAGAAATCCAAATTGATTCGAAGCCAGTCTATTAATAATCACGCTTTCCATACAAAATATGGCAACTTAGACAAGTGTTCTAGGTATGATCTGTCATTCTTCACGTTTTAATTTTTATTTTAAAGTCTCATCTCATTATATGTGAAATAGTTACATTACTATAAAAATTAGGATTAGTTTTGAGTTTTCTATGGGTAGATAATTTTTTTTCCTGTAAAGACTGTTAAGAAATAGTAGTCGACCAATTTGTATAAAAATAGGTTCTGGTATTCTAGGAAGACTACAGCCATGACAATATATTATGCCTTGCTCTGGCCGGTTAGTTCGGTGGTTTGAGCATCAGTCTAACTGAATGCTGAAGGGTTGAGGGCTCAACTCCCGGACAAGGGCACATAATTATTTTGAGGCATGGAATAGAAAGAATAAATGAAAAATAGAAGTAGCAAGCATGTTTCATAAGAAATAGGAGAAAACATTTTATTATTTATATATTTACTTATATTTTATTGATTTTTTTTTTTTTTTTTTTTTTACAGAGAGGGAGAGAGAGTTAGAAACATTAATGAGAGAGAAACATCAATCAGCTGCCTTCTGCACACCTCCTACTGGGCATGTGGCTGCAACCAAGGTACTTGCCCTTGACTGGACTTGAACCTGGGACCTTTGAGTCCGCAGTACGACGCTCTATCCACTGAGCCGAACTGGGCAGGGCTAGGGGAAAACATTAAAAAAAAAAGATTTAAAAAGACCAAATGCTGTTGAGTGGGATTGAGATAAACATGTTCTTGCATTTTAAACTAAATTATGTTCTTTTCCAGTAAAACTTCTACAGTAGCATATACACCTTCTGCCTCAGGGTTAGCAAAGACTTCTACGATTTCACTAACTGGTGAGTAGAATCCTGAGCTCCTCAAAGCATTGCTAAATTCAATGAAATATGGCTTTCCTTAAGTAATTTCTGTATTTCTAGGTACAGTGTTTTCCCTAAACTTGTATCTTTACCAAATGCCTATGAAACCTTTTTCTAGCAATTGAGAAAATACTTGACTGTCCTATTCTGTTTTCACTGTATCAAGACTTAGGAGTTGTTTTAAAAGAGAAAAAGGGACAAAATGATAGGCTAGGCTTGCCACGGTCTGAGGACCCGCTGAGGCAGAGTCAAGTGTTTTGCAGGAACAAATGCAGTTAAAACACAGAGGTAACACACAGCTAACATTTCAACAGTCCACCTTTGGCACTTTGTACCAGGGGCCAGCCACCTTTTCTGCCGGGAGGCTGGAGAGCCAGTAGTTAGGTTTACGCTGGCAAATTGGTTTCTGTCAGGATGACTCGCTGTGCCCTGCGGGGTAGAGAGATGAAAAGCTACATCTCCGCACAGATTCGTACATGATTGTTTAGAGCAGCTCCATTCATCATGGTCCAAAACTGGGGGAAACCAAATGTCCGGCAGCAGGAGATGGAGAAGCCAATAGCGACACATCCCTGCAGTGGGACAGTCCGCTCCAACAAGGAATGGACGAGCCTCCTCATAACTGTGCTGGGTGAGAGGAGCCAGACACAAACAGGATGCATGTTATCCTATTCCATTTATAGAAAATTCAGAAAATGCAAACAAATCCCCAGGGACGGGAGGCAGGGGGAGCGATTACAAGGGGCAGGAAGAAACACGTGGTAGGGATGCAGTTTATTATAAACTACCCCCTAATAAATTGATTTTAAAATAGAAAGCGGCCGCTCCCATCAAGCTGCTTCCGCCCGGTTCCCGCCTGGCTCCGTACGCGGCGTGAGCCTGACCCCGCGTGTGTTCCTTCCAGATGACTCGTTCCGGACCCGCAATGCCAGCAGCCTCCCGCCGTCCTTTTCCCCCAGCTCTCCCCTCCCCAGCACGTCCCGCGGGACAGCTAACCCCGTGGATCCAAAGAGCAGCGGAGCTAAAGAGCCGCCACCACGGAAGGCTGCCCTGTAAGTAACCAGGACGCACCGCTGTGTGCCACCCTCCTTCCTCTCGGGGCCTTTCCTTCCCGCTCAGTTCCCCAGAGCGGACTGTCTGTAACGAGGAAATGTCCTACCTTAAAAGGGTTCTCGGCACACGCGCTCTGTCATGGTGATGCTTTGTCTGACATGATCTGCATGTGGCAGAGACACGGCAACTAAGGGAATCAAGAGACTTTAAGTGGCTCCCACTGATGTCCGAGATTTTACAAATTTTCTGTGACAGGTTTGCACCCAGGGACGTTACTGAAGAAGACCCTGGTGTCAGTGCCTCCCTCTGAACAGCTAGTGTCACGGACACTGTGTCACCGCCCGGAGCTCGGAAGATGGGCCCTGCTGCTCCTTACGGAGTCTTCCTGCAGCATGATCCCGAGTAGGCAGCCTGGGAGAGCCCTCACTCTGTCCTTGTCCTGGACAGGGAGGCCATGCAGGCCTGTCTCCTCCTTCCCCGGGTCCTCTTTATGTGCAGTTAGTGTCTGCGAGAGTCACTGAAGCCCGTGCTCCTGTTAGTGTAAATGGGGAGGAGGGCAGCCCGCTGAGAACCATCCTGAGGGCGGACGGACCATGTCACGTGGATGTGACTGAGCCAGCCTGCCCCAACTCTACTCACAGGCGCCCGAGCCTTCAGATTAAATCAGCATTTAAACCTTTGTCTAATATGTCCCTTAATTCATGAATATGCTAACAAGGTTTCCGACATCCATCTTTTAGTGGGAACTCCATGCTGGTGTCCTTTTTTAGGAACTGAACTATATTGTAACTTTCTCTAAGTTTTTAATTGCTCACCAGCATATATAAATATAGATGTATTTAAGATTCATTCAATTTTAGAAACAAATTTATGGAAAGGAGCTCAAGGAAAAAGTAGGATTATGTATCACAGAAAAAAACAATATTGATATTACAAATTAGCAATGTTAATATAGAGGCCAGTTTTATTCACAGAGAGTGCTCTTTGGAACAGTTGCTCTAGGGATTATACGGTGGTCGGTCCCTTTAAAAGTCCCAAGGACTGAGCCAGAAGAGGGTCCTGTCTGCAAGAGCACGGAGCTGGAGCATGGGCCCTCTCCAGGGAGCTGAGCCGCTGTGGGCGCTCTGCTCAGCGCTCTGGGCCTCAGGTCTCATCAGTAAAATGACAGGGTTTCCTGCTTTACCCACCACGGTGCCTTTCTGTTCTGGCCTCCTGGGATCCAGCCTCTCCATCGCTCTTGACCTTCCTCCTCTCAAAGACTGCCCTGGAATTCTTCTATTGAAGAACACAATTACATCAGCATATAATTCATTCTCCTCTTAACTTACTTTTCTAAATGCCATAGGCATTTTAAAAAATAAAGACCATTGAAACTTCCTATCAACTCTCCTTTATTTCACACAACAAGCCTGGTGCACGAAATTCATGCATGGAGGGGGGTTGTCCCTCAGCTCAGCCTGTACCCTCTCCAATCCAATCTGGGACCCCTTGAGGGATGTCTGACTGCCCGTTTAGGCCTAAATGGGCAGTCAGACATCCCTCTCACAATCCAGGACTGCTGGCTCCCAACTGCTCACCTGCCTGCATTCCTGATTGCCCCAACTGCTTCTGCCTATCAGTCTGATCACCCCCTAACCACTCTGCTACCAGCCTGATTGATGCCTAACTGCTCTCCTGCCAGCCTGTTTGCCCCTAACTGCCCTCCCCTTCAAGGCCTGGTCACCCCTAACTGCTCTCCCCTGCAGGCCTGGGCCTGCCCAACTGCCCTTCCCTGCAGGCCTGGTGACTTCCAACTTCCCTCCTCTGCCAGCCTGGTCACCCCTAACAGCCTTCCCCTGCAGGTTTGATTGCCCCCTACTGCCCTCCCTTGCAGGCCTGGTCCCTCCCGACTGCCCTCCCCTGCTTACCTGATTGCCCACAACTGCCCTCCCTTGCAGGCCTGGTCCCTCTCAAGTGCCCTCCCCTGCTTTACATCTTGTAGTGGCCATCTTGTGTCCACATAGGGCAGGATCTTTGACCACATGAGGGCAGCCATCTTGTGTATCGGAGTGATGGTCAATCTGCATATTATTCTTTTATTAGATAGGATAGAGGCCTAGTGCATGGGTGGGAGCTGGCTGGTTTGCCCTGAAGGGTGTCCCAGATCAGGGTGGGGGTTCTCTTGGGGTGTGGGGTAGCCTGGGTGAGGAGCCTGTGGTGGTTTGCAGGCAGGCATGCCCCCTGGTGACCCAAGCAGAGGCCCTGGTATCTGGAATTTATTTACCTTCTACAATTGAAACTTTGTAGCTTGAAGCGGAGCCTAGCCTCCTGCTTGCTCCATCGCTGCAGCCATTTCTGTTGGAATTTGTTTACCTTCTATAATTGAAACCTTGTAGCATTGAGTGGAGGCCTAGGCCTGCAAGGACAGGTGGAAAGCTTGGCTTCCTCTTTTGCCGGGGGAACCCAAACCTCCCTCCTGCTCTCTGTGGCTGTAGCCATCTTGGTTAAGTTTATTTGCTTACTTGCTCTGATTGGCTGGTGGGCATGGCTTGTGGGTGTGGCTTGTGATTATAGCGGAGGTATGGTCAATTGCATATTACTCTTTTTTAAAAAAAAATATATTTTATTGATTTTTTTTTTTTTTTTCACAGAGAGGAAGGGAGAAGGATTGAGAGCTAGAAACATCAATGAGAGAGAAACATCGACCAGCTGCCTCCTGCACACCCCCTACCGGGGATGTGCCTGCAACCAAGGTACATGCCCTTGACCGGAATTGAACCTGGGACCCTTCAGTCCACAGGCTGACGCTCTATCCACTGAGCCAAACCGGTTTCAGCTGCATATTACTCTTTTATTAGACAGGATTACTTTTTAAATTTGTTCTTTCATTGTTGAGCATGTTTTTCCTATTCATAGACTAAAATTTCTCCTCAATAAATAATGTATATTTATATTAATTATATAACCAATTATATATATAATTTTTAATAAATGAATTTAGAAACAAACACTCTGCTAACAATCACATTGTTTCTCCTGCTCTGAACGTTCTGAAGGAGGATGGATATTGGTATCACAGCTGCTTTTTTAACATGTGATTGACTGACTAGTCCATAACTGTACTTCCATCTAACGTGCTTCTCATTCAACGTTCCCATGAATGCACACTGCCCATGACCGGAGCAGGGGTCAATGTGGTTATGTTTCTTCATGTTTCTGTGAAGTATTACCTACAGTTCAGCACCACGCTATTTCCAAATGGAAATATACCTTTTATACTTAAAATAAGCCTCGGGAATAATTTCAGAAAATAATATCTGTTTTTGCTGCTCAACAAAATCCTCACAGTACCTTCTCCAACTTTTCAGTATCAGAGATGGCACACACGTCTGGTAGTTGGGAATATAGGTTTCTTCAAGGATGTATAGGAATGCATTGTATTTTAAACCTTTTAAAGCCAGATGATTGATACATTTAAGCTGCATTAGTTTCTGTTATGGTTATATGAAAAAACAATGTAAGGAAAGTTGTATGAATTGAACTGAATGCTATTTTAGGAGCACACAGGATTTGGTAATTAAAGGTAATTCCAAGTAATATTTAATATGTAATTTATTTTTCACTAGCTCAGAATTCTCAGAATAGATTCTATCTATATTTATTTACTTTTTAAGCATTATATGGATAAAATTGTTCATGTTTTATTTTCTCCTTTCTCCTCTCTCTTATCTTTCCCATTCCTCTCTTCCTCCCCCTTCTCTCCCTCCATCCATCCTTTCTTCCCTTTCTCTTCCTTTTCCTTCCCCCTCTCTGTTTTACATCCTTTTTGACAAAGAAAATCCAGAAAATCCAATCCTTAAGTCATCTGCTTGATGAAGGAGGCGCAAAACAAAGACACCTGGAGATAATGTGATTGATGGACAAAAGCTAAAGCAATGGCGGGGGCTCCTTTTCTTTTCTTTTAATTAATGGAAAAGAGATACATTAGGGCAGCTGATGTTGCTAAAAGCCCCATATTTGAAATCAGATTATGTATTAAATAATGTGGTTGCAGAATTCCAATGTTACAGTGAAGTGTAATGAAAAACGACGTTAGTATGTGCTTTAACGACCGCGGCAGAATTATTTGTGTGGGAAACCACCGTTTATTTGTTCTAGAACTTTAGCACCGACACTGCACGAGAGTCCACACCGATTGCAGTTGCCCTCACCAGCGAATCACGCGGAGGGGGCTGGGAGTGAGTAAGAAAGACTCTGTTTCTCACCCATCTCCAAGCCCAACTGAACAGTCACATGAGAAGGGTACAGCCAGCAGCCCACAGTGTTCCGGTCTGGTTGGGGTGACCACATGGTGTACCCGGATATTCTGAAGCTTAAATTTGGCAATGAAAATCCCACTAAGGTTTCTGATAACTTTTAGCCACAATTACCTTAAAAATAATAGATCCATGATTTCCTTTATTTCCTAGAAAATTTTATTTTATAAATACTTTGTTTACATTTCAGATTATATTTGTCCTTAATTAAAAAATGATGAATCTAGTTTGAATCAGCTGTTACTCTGAGCTATCATGCTTATGCTATGTCAACAGCCTTTATTTATACTAATGCTAATATTTCCATCACAGTTTGCCTGTAGAACATGTACGATTATTAATTTTAAAATGTCAGATCTTGAGATATACTGTATGAAGCTATTGTCAGCTTCTCTATTACAAAATGCAATTAGCATATAACTATACTGATATTAGAAAATCTTTGTTTTTTAAAATATATTGATGTATGATAAAGATATGATCTAATTTGTGAATGCAAATGCGTGTGTGGTTACTTTTTATAATGTGAAATAATGAATAGTGAATTTACTTAAAATAAAACATAGGTTAATGAGATACCTGTGTTTGTGAAAAAAGTTTTAAATACTTTTCTGCCATTTTTATTCTCTAATGAGAGTACAACAGTTCACTTTTAAGTGATGAGTAACAGAAGATGCGGACCTCAGCTGTAAATTACTCAGGAACAGCCACTCGGTGTGGAACTTTCAATTCCTCTCCACCTTTTCTTACAGTTGGCTCCTGTTGGCTATTTTTAATGATTCTTAGTATCTTTCATTTAAGGATAGGTTAATGGAATTATTCAACCCATTTGCCAGTACTTAAAAGCTGAGTAGGTTCGAGAAGCTTGACCATATGGCTGGTTTAATGCACTCCTTATGGATTTCATTGAACTCTTTTAATGACACCTCCCAACACAGCACTGACATGGCCTTCCACACTGTGATGGGGAGAGTCTGGGACGTGAGAGGGACCTCAGCGTGACAGCAGTTTCCTAGCTTGTGGTTCATAAGCATGGACTCTGTCATCTTAGGTAAAAGGGAGAGCTCCAGTTTGCTGCTCACTAATAGATGCAGCAGAGTCAGAAACCTTCGTTTCCTTTATGCATGTGAGCGCAGAGGAGATGACTCGACAGAGAAAAGTCACTACAGCGTCTACAACCCAGGATTTACAGAGGCCAAGGCCGTCTCATTCCAGAGCACTAAGCAATCAAGTAGCAGTCAATCAAAATTAGCTCACAAGTTTCCTCTTTCCTTTGCAGAACATAATCATTTCTAAAATTGTTGAAATATTTTTAAAAATCATGTACATTTCTAAAACCAGATATATAAAATCAGAGTAGAAAACAAATTGATGATGTTATGACCATCCACACATACTTAGATTTACACCGAAACGAGGCTGATACAAGTCCTTGGCGTAGCGGCATACCAGAGAGTAACCCAGCTGTGGGACAGATCTCCTCCACCTGAGCTGCAGAGAGGAGGGCCATCGCCGCTGCTGGTTAATGATGGAAACGTGCATTTTTAAGGACAGGTTCTAGAATTTCACAGGTCAGCACTGCAAGCAAAAACAGCCCTGTAGAACTACCTACAGAAGTGGAGACAGGGCGTAAGTGGATTTTACTTCATAGCGGTAGAATAAGGAGCATATAGAAATATCCGTCCACAGCCTCATGCACATCTGAAAATCATTTCCATTATCTGACTTCCTGAGCTCAGACCTGCCCCTTCCTCTGGGGCACCATTTGCCTTGTGGTTAGTAGGCGAACATGAAATATTTGAACGGAAGTGAACAGGCTGTTCAGCTTGAGTAGGATGTCACAGAGAAGAGAAATGAGTTAGATCCGTTCAGTACTCTGTTCTCGTCGTCATAGCCCGTGTGAGAGACTGTGGGTGTGTGGGTGTCTGTCTGCCTGTAGGAACAGTTTTAAAAACCTGACGCTTTAATAGCGAAGCCTGTTGTCATGTTCAGGTTCTCCCTCAGTTGAAAGCTGGATTTTTGTATCAGTGACCGCACTTCCCACTGTCCGCCTTAAAGAGCAGCGCTTAGGGCGGTCCTTACGCCGCATGTTGGCAGTGCTGGTGGGAGGCGAGGGAGAGTGTGCTGGCATGTTACATGAACCCTCCATAGCAGTGAGCTTTCCGTCACTGGCCTCGGCCATGTTCATTCTAGAGACCATTGTTTCCATAGGCTTCCCCCCGTAAGGTTCATCTCTAAAAGCAGGTATTTTCCCGCAAATACACCTGCTAACTGAACACTGACAGGCCGAGTGAGTCCTCTGTTTTGTGTCCCTGCCTTACCAGCGGTCACAAGGTGCCCTCGGAGGAGCACAGGGGAGAATCCAGGCCGGATTGTGGAATGAGGGAAGCCAACCTTTAAGCTGCAGCTTGCTGTTACTGCTGCTCACATCACCGTCACACACTGCTCTGATTTAAATTCACGGCTAAGGACTAATCAAGAAATTAATTTTAGGTATAAAATCAATAGCAAACCGATAGAAATCCAAATAGGCATTTCATTAACACAGTTGACACTCCAAGGTGAGTTGGGTCTAGTCTCAGGATTTATTCGCAAAACACCTCCTTGTCTCTGTGACCAAGTGGCCGCTTCAGAGTGCGGGGACGTGTTTTCCTGTTGGCCTTGGCGCAGGCCAGCTTCCCTCCTTTAACCAAGCGGCTTCTGAGCGGTGAGCCCAGCGGCCTGGCCAGCTGACCGCGCCAGGAGGTTTAGGTGGGAAGAAGAGAAACAGGCCTGGGGCCACGGGGTGACCTTGGCAAGCATTTGCCTTTCTCTGCCGTGTCCTGCGACATTTGTCCATGAGGCGCAGTAGGCAGAGTGCCTAAGGCCCAGGGTACTTTTTGGGGCTTATGTTTTACTTTTTGCAATAAGCAAGTTACATGCTTTAAATGCATCCATATAAAAGCAAATACAGTGCATAATATATTCATTTTTATACCAAGGCTGTCTTAAAATCAAATGTTTAATACACACGTCGGAACGACCCCAAGAGTGCCTTGAAAGCCATAGTGTGACCTGTGCCTGGTTCCCCATTCCTGTCCTTTGTCAAATGAAGGGATTGAACCAGTGACCTGTGGCTTAGTAATGCCAGGCATCTCTAACTGCCACGGAGGACACGGCCCCATGGATGCAGACGCTGGATCAGGCCAAGTTACGCTGTGTTTCCTTTTTTTTTTTCTTTTTAATACATTTTTATTGATTTCAGAGAGGAAGGGAGAGGGAGAGAGAGAGCAACATCAGTGGTGAGAGAATCATTGATTGGCTGCCTCCTACACTCCCCCTCATGGGATTGAGCCCACACCCCGGGCATGTGCCCTGTGCCTAGACCAGGAATCAAACCATGACCTCCCGGTTCATAGGTCGATATTAACCATTGAGCCACAGGGCTGGGCTGCTTTCTCATGTTAGTCAGCAAGAAGTGGTTTTATAGCAGATGGCAAGAAAATGCTTGTTTTGCACCAGAGGGAAGTGGAGAGCGAAGCATGTGCCTCATGGAGCATGTGTCTGTGTCCTCCTCCCAGCGGCTCCTCTGGACAGAGTGTCCAGGCCTGTGAGCAGCCGGAGGGCAGAGCATCCTGCCACGCTGGGCTCCGTCAGGGCGAAGGCTGTCAGCCCAGGAGCACACCCCGCACGGGCTGGCTAACATCCCCTGGAATAAGTCTGACTGGAGCACTCGGACTTCTCCTAGAGCCAGCAGCAGAGGGCGCCATCCTCCTGCCGCTCCCAGCAGTGCCCTCGCGGCGCCGCGTCCTCGTGCTTGTCCGGGCCCCGGTCACAGGAGGGTGGGGTTCACCACCCTGCCCAGGAACAGGGCCACCCTGGAGGCCTCTTCGTAGATCAGGAAGTGAAATGGCCGGTTCACTTTGATGACGGGAGGCATGGAATAAGCAACGATCTCCGACAGGGTCCCCGCCGCCGCCTCGGTTCCTTCCTCGTCCACCTCGATCACCGCTCTCTGTAAGACCTGCAGAGGAGGTAACGGGACCGTGGGAGGGACAGCCAAGAGGAGGCCACGGAGGCCCTGGGCAGCTTGTGCTGTGGCCCCGCCTACAGGGCCTGCGCCTGGGGATGAGGGGCAGGGGCTCCTCTGTGCAGAGAGGAGGCTGCCAGGGGCTTGCCTTGGAAGCTCAGATGCCAGGAGACCCCGGGACCCCAAATGGGAAACACCGGCCAACCCTGCCCGCATGGTCAGACCAGCGGTGCTTGCTGAGCGAGGCCCGGTGCTGCTGAGCCTCGGGCGCAGCTGGGCTCCGCGGAAAGGTGCTCCCGCTGCCTGGAGCCCGCATGCTCTGGCCTCCCCTCTGCAGGCCAGCCGGGGAGGGGTTGGCTAGTCTGCGGCGGCTTCCCAGCGCCTGGGAGGGCTCTGAGTCCCCGGCAAGGACTCCGGTTGCCTGGACTCAGGCCACCTGTCCTGGCTGGGAGGCCCTTTCGTCCTGGAACCTCACGTGAAGTGGGTGGACCAACCTGACTGCTAAAAGAGGCAGAGGAAACCTCAGTGTAGTAGCTCTCGGGGGCCCTAATGTCCTGGCCTGAAGGTTCTCCTCCGGGAGCAGCAGGGAGGACAGTTAGCGGTTTGGAATTTAAGCTGTGAGGAGCGCATGGAGTCACTGGGCTCTTAACCAGGTGCCGGCCTGCAGGCTGTCCTGGTTATGCCTCAGTCTCCCGAGCCCAAGGCCTGGCCGAGGCCTGCTCCCCCTGCTGAGTCCCGCTCAGGGCGTGGGGTGCCATTTCTAAGCTCACTTGGAACGAGAACATGGGAAAATAGTAAACCCCAAGCTAAAAGAGAGCAGGGGAAGATGTAGCTGCCACTTGGAAATGGGGGACATTTTCTCAGTCGTCATAATGAGGGGTTCCTGCTGGCCTTAGTGAGCGGCCAGGAGTGGAGCAGCTCCCTGCAATGTCCTGGCTGCTCCGCCATGGCCCCCGCGGAACCAGCAGGTTCCCACTGGGAAGGCGGACGAGCTGAGGGGGTTCCTTAGCGGCAGAACAAGGGCCCGAGAGGATGAGCTGATGGCGTTAGAGGCAGAAGAACGGCCAAAAGGATGAGTTAGTGGGGTTATCGGAAAAACACACCCAAAGCCATATCTATGAGAAAAACAACAACAACAATAATTTTGGCCATTTGTGGATTGAGTTGCTTTTCAAAGTGTTGCCTTCCCTGTCACTGGAAGCATTACAAAGAAGAAAGGGAGGGAGGGAGGGAGGGAGGGAGGAAGGGAGGGAGGGAGGGAGGGAGGGAGGGAGGGAAGGAGGAAGGAAGGGAGGAAAACTGGAGGGTAATTTGTAGGGATATTATAGAGGGGGTTCCAGGAGGGTGGGAAGTGGGCAGATGGCTTCTGGGGGATTCTTTCATCTTAAGAGTGGAGTGACTTCATGACATTTTACATGAACCCGTGACTGAGCTCCTTTTCAGGGTGCACTCCTCGAGTGCTGAGAGAGGAGGGGAGAAATTAAATTAGTCGAACTAATGTTTTAATAAAGGAGCTCACAATTCTTAAAACATCCAACCTGAGTGCTATTTCAAGTCCTCGGAATTTAAACCGGAGCTTCTGCTACAACTCGGTATTTTCTCAACATTAAAATCATCTGCAAAAATAAGTGTCGGTTTTGGCCCGACTCCCTCCGTGGGGTTTGGGTCCTCGTGAGAGGCCCTGGCTTACCCGGGACACCTTCAGGTTTCTCGAGATGGCCGAGAGCTCGCCCAGGTGGGCCCAGGGCGAGAAGAGTCTCGTGACTCTCATTTGCTTCAGCAGCTCATGCATCTCATACTTCTGATCCAGCTTGAACTTGGGGAACAAAACTTCCATGTGTCTGTGGGACAAGGAGAGGTGATGGGGAAATGCGGGCAGAGCCAGGGACTGCTCACCACAAAGACCACTCTCTCCAAGGTCATCCCCGCAACGGGTCCCGCTCTCTGCCTGTGTAGCTCACGCCGTTCTTCAGTGGCGCTCTGGCTTGGGGAAAGCCGCTCTGGCTACCAGATAGGTAAGGTCAGCGCACCGAGCTGGCTTCAGCTCCCGGCCACGGACGCACATCCTCACTGGCCAAGAACGCTGCCTTTGGCATCCATGTCCCTGTTTTAACAACAGCCCGGCCCAGGGCACCTGGCAGCAGCTGTCTGCTTGCAGCAGCCCTGAGGCCCCAGGCGGCGCTGCAGCCTCAGCCTGGATCCTGCAGCCCCTCGTGCTCCGGGAATCTCAGGAGCCCGGATGGACAGCAGGAGGGAGAGAGGGGAACCACCCTCGCACCCCCCCCCCCCCCACACACACACAGCTCGTAGGCAGAGACGTGCTGCCATTCTGTTTTATAGGCACTGGAGTTCTCCTCTGAAATTACTGTTTGAACAGCTGAGTTCTGTGGCTCAGAAATAAAAAGCTTGGAAACGCCTAGCTGCCACTAGAGAGGTCTTAAAGAAGTCTCCGTTAATTTGTGAGGGGTCGCCCCAAGCAGCAGCACGGGTTCCGGGCTCAGGGTGGGTAAACTAATGTGGCGGCCAGCACTGCGCCGCTGTTCAGGCGGAGCTGTGGCTCATCCCCCTGTGCTCACTTCCCGCCCTGTTCTCCCCCCCCCTCCCCCCCCATCCAGCCCACTCGCAAACCCGCTCCTCCGGGTCCTGAGGGATCCCCTCCCTGTGCTGCTCAGGCTCGCTCACCCACAGCCCGGGGCAGCCTATGTTGGGGGTTGCAGGACCTCCTGTCAGGTCTCCCCCCCCCACAGTGTGCTTACTCCACGTGGCTGTGTAGCTCTTGCAAATAGGAGGCGGACCCTGGGGCTCTTCTGCCCAGATCCCCATCGCCTCAGGAAAAGCCCAATCCCCCCTGGCTGTGCCATGGCCCCGGGCCTGTGTCCTGGCTGTCAGCCTCCTCCTCCTCCCTGCTGCCTGCTTTCCTCAACCCCCAGGCCTCCCACCCCAGGCTCTCTCTCTGCCCCCCCAAGGTCCCCAGAGTCCTGTTCACTTCCGCCACCGCCTTCCCCGGCCTTCCCGGCGGCCCTGCACCCTGGGACCCCTCACTCCCTGCGCTGGGGCTCACTGGCTCCCTCACTGGGACGTGGCCTGGCGAGCAGCTGATGAGCGGCGCTGAGATGCCGGGACAGAGGGCAGGGCAAACGCAGCCCCTGCTCCCAGGGAGCCCATCGGCCGCTGGGGAGGCAGACATGACCCCCGGGCTGGGGAGCTGCTCGCAGAGACCGGCTGGTGTCGGGTAGGGGCCTGGCCTTACCTGGTCTTCATGCTGCTCAGCCACGTGCCCACCAGCTCGGCGCTCAGGTAGTCCTCCAGCGCCAGGTGGTCGCTCATCCTCTCCGTGAGCACCACCAGCATGCTGGCCCGGCCGCGGTAGGGCAGCTGGAGGACGTGGCAGCGGAGGCGCTGGTCGAAGGTGGAGGCGAAGTTGCCCTCGCTGTACATCATGGGCACCTTCACCGTCCTGTACTTGTCCAGGTGGAAGGTGTCATCCTCGGTGAAGGCGGGGTCGAAGGGGGTCAGCCACTTCCCTGGAAGGGAGGAGAGAACTCGGTGAGGACACCACCTGCCGGGTGGCATTCTTGCTGAAGTCCCAGAGGGCAGCCCTCTCTGCCCTCTCTGCCCACGGCTCAGGCCGCAAACCCACTCCCCAAGGCCGCTCAGCCCCTCCCCGCTGCCCCCCCCCCCCCGCTGGCCCCGCCCCTCCCGCTGGCAGGACGGGCCCCTGTGGTCACACACAGTGAGGCGGGCACCATGGCTCCCTGTCTGAGCTCCCTCAGGCCCTCAGTGTGCGCAGCCACGTGCGGGCAGGGTCCCTGGGACAGGAGCCATGGCCTCCCCACATGGCTGCTCAGGGCGGTTCTTGCTGACACAGCCACTGGTCCGGGAGCGTGACCCTCTGCACAGACTGTCCTGGGCTGTGCCCGGCAGCAGAAGCACCTTCTCCCGGGCTCGGCGAGGCCCTCCTGCTGCAGCGGCGGCCACCACCCCTCCTGCCCACAGCGGGCAGGACCGACAGGGTCCGGGATGAGAGTGTCAGGACCCCCACCCCCTCTCGCAGGGTCTGGCCTCAGTGACCTTGGCCAGGCTCCCCTCTGAGCCTCGCTCTCTCTGCACAGCAGGTGGGAGGCCCCCATTTTCTACATGAAGAGTCTGAGGACCAGCGACATCGTCACTTGCCCCAGTTCACAGAAGGGGAGAGCGAAGGAGCAAAGACTAAGTCCAGATGGCCCAGATCCTGTGCCCGGAAGACTCAGCGCCAGCACCTAGAGGCGTGGACAACTGCGGGGGTGCTTGGAAACTAGGGACCGCACACAGGCCACGGCAGGGGCATGGGGAGCACTCCCACCCGGCCTGTGCCTGGGGCGTCACACGTCACGCCTGTTGTGGGTTGCCTGTGAGACCCCACCTCACAGAACATCACTTGGCATTAACCCTATGAGGGGCGAGCAGGAGGGGGCGGGACTGCGCAGGGACCCAGCTCGGAGCGGGGGAGGAGAAACGGAACGTTCCAGTACCTCGGAGCAGGACGTAGTCCACAAGCATGACCTTGGTGTCGGGATTGACCTCATCCAGGAGCCCGGGGACTTGCCCCTGCGTCTCCCGGTTAACGTGACGGTTCACGAGCGTCCTGGCCTGCGAGGCGTTGCGGAAATCCACGGCCACACACTGGGTATCGAAGTAGCTCTGGGACAGATTGAGGAAGGTCCCTTTGACGTCAAAGTCCTCCTGGACGAAGGCCAAGCTCCCCTGCGTGAGGCCCAGCTCCTGGTTGCGGGACAGGTGCTGCCGGAGCCGCCGAAACAAGGCGGGCAGGTGCCCGGGCCCCGCCTGGCTCGGGCTGTGCGCGCTGAGCACGCCCTCCAGCTGGGCCCGGGTCTGCCCCGAGGCCCCCAGCATCAGGGCCGCCAAGGCCAAGGACAGGCCGAACGGGGAGAAAACCACATTGCCGTCGTGCCTCATGGAGATCTTGCGCAGCAGGCTGAACCCCAAGTCGGAGGTCTGTTCGGAGAGCTGCTGCCCGCCGGCCGGCGGCCAGGGCTCCTCCTCCTCCTCCTCTGGGGCCCGCACTACCTGGAGGGTCTCATTCTGGACGGCGGGGGCCTGTGGCCTCGCCGGGGCCGTGCCGGGCGCCAGCCACACCTGGGCCAGGAGGCAGGGGAGCAGGAGGCGCAGCGCCGCCGCCATCCGGTCCGCGGGGAGCAGAGGCAGCGCCGCTCTCCAGCCCCAGGGCTTCCTGGGAGGAGAGAGGAGGTGGGTGACCATGCCTGATGCAGCCCCTCGTCCCTGTGCTCTGGCCTATCCTCCAGGGACCACGTCCTCCCTCTGAGGCGAGGGCAGGGGCCTCCCTCCGGCTCCAGCAGCCGAGCGCACTCAGGGAGACCCAGAGCAAGACAGATGGACCTGGACCACCGAGGAGGGGATTGGTACGAAGGAAACCTCCTCTGGGCCCCAGCCCGTGGCAGGGCCTGGCCCTCCCTCCCCCCCCCCCCCCACCTCCCCATGAGGAGTGGATCAGAGAGGATGAGGTTTATGTGGGGTCAGAGCAGGGCGGGGTCAGGGGGTCCACAGGCCTTTATTGGTCGGCTTCACTCATTGGTCTGATCTCTGGGCTCGACAGCAGCCCATCAAGCTGGGTCTCGGGGCCCTGGGTCTGGGGCCTGCTTGGCTGGGGATGCAGAGGGTCGGAGTAGCCATCAGGGCCGGGAAAGGGCAAGTGCTGGGTCTGCCTGGCTCGGGGGTGAGAATTCTGCCCCCTGCACCCCTCTGACGGCCCTGGCGCCCAGTTCCCAGCTCCTGCCGGCTCTGCCTTCCTCCGCTGTAGCTGGAGGCCCCTGACGGACACAGGAGCCGCTTGTCCTGAGGGAGGCCGGGCTGACCTCTCCCCCTCACAGAGGCTGTGAGTGCCTCCTCGCTCTCGGCCCCACGTGAAGCCGGGCCTCTGGCCCCGGCAGGGGGTCTCCTCACCCCACGCTCCTCACCGCTAGCCGGCTCAGCCTGCCACCTCTCCAGGCTCCCTGGCACCCGGGCGCAAAGCCTGGCTCCTGCGCACCTGCCCGTTTCCGGTCTCAGTAAACACCCAGGGCTGGGCTGTGGGCCCACAGTCTCCACACTCAGCTCCTGGTGTGGTCTGTGACCCAGAGGCTGGCTGGGCAGGCCACCGAGATGCCCCCCGTGGGGCTGGGAGGGCACCGGGCAGGGCAGGCTGCAGGTCTCACAGGGGTCCCCTCAGTAGAGACCCTCCCTCTGAGCAGGCCCCCGTGTGACCCGATGGCGTTCCCCGGCCGCCTTCCCTCACACAGGCGCTGTGACCTCGTCTGTGCCTCATGCAAGCGACATCGGCCCAGGACCCAGCGCACCGGTCTTGCTTATGCTAAACGGCCCCCAGAATCGTGCCGGAAGCCACTACCTCACCCACACAGTGGCGTACGTCTGCAGTGATCCCTAAATGCCAGGGTGCAATTCTAAACGTCAAGGCCGAGTCCGGTGGCTTCCAGTCGCAAATGCTGGGGAAGAGCCTCCTGCAGCAGCTGCTCGGACCCTGGCCATGCCTGAGTGTGCAGGCTGCCTCGTGCTCAGCATCAGGGCCAGCCCCCACACAGCAAACAGGGCTGGACACACTGAAGGCCCAGCTGGGAGGCAGCATCTTCTAGCAATACAGTCTTTGGTAACTAAGGCATGTGTATTGGCTTACACCCGACAGCACTGCACACTGAATAAGCTACACCATAGCGTACACACAACCTTCGGATACACTGGGAAACCAGGCAATGCATGACGATGCTCACTTCATTGCAGCCGGAACCTCAATGCCCGTGTCTGCACTCGGCCCGTGTACAGTAGTCAGCACCACTCCCCAGTTAGTCCGTTCACCCCCGGGAGCGTGCTCCCGAACCCGGGCCATTCTGTCTGACAGCCCAGGAACAGTGCCAGCCCCCAAATACAGTCCGCCCCTTCCAGGTCCGGCCTTCCTGTGCGGCTTCTCCGTCAGCCCGGAGCGGGCCCAGGAGTCCATGGCCCCGCACGCTGCTCACTGGCCAGACCCAGGGATCCACCCCCCACGGTCACGTTCATGTACTGAACAGGACGGAATCTGTGCGGGCGCCCCTCAAGCACGCCGAGGACGTGTCATCCTGGAGAAGCTGAGTGGGAAGGAATCAACAGCTCACTTTCCACTTCCCAGCCCCCAATCACCTGGGCAGCCCCCACCCGGCCCTAAGGTGGGGGTTCGCTGAAGGGGGAGGAGATCAGGGCGCTGAGTGTGGTGTGAACAGTGAGCGCTGTGGACACAACTCATTGGACTTAAAGCCTCATCCCCTTCCTCCTCCCTCAGAGGAAGCCCCTGTGTCCACAGCACAGCTCTCCCCCCACTGCTGTCCCCTCCGCCCCCCAGTGATGGCTCGGCGCTGCCCAGACCCCCTCTCACCTTGGAGTCCACCCCACTGGCTGGACAGGGAAGGTCCCCTTAACGCTGCCTCTCACCAGCCTATGGCCTGGGCGCCTGGGAAGGTCCTGTGTTCGGGCGCAGGCAGAGGTTGGGATGGGCAGCTGAGAGCCTGCGGCAAATATTTGCTGTTCCAAAGTGCGCCCTGAGGGACCGTTACTGATTAACATCTTGCGGGAGATGCTGGTGTTTCTGGAAAAGCAGACACACACAGAGAAGTTTCCCACAACCCCCCCCCAACCTCCCTATCCGCCACCCCCCCAACCCTGAGTGTGCAAATCCCTCCAAAGGAGCTTCTGTTTCGCAAGCCCAGGCACTGCCCTCCACGCCCACTGCTGGGGTGGCGCTGTCCAGGCCCCTGCCTCCTGCGAAGGGGGCCTCCTGAGTCCCCACCCGTGCCAGGGGCAGAGATGATGAGGAACTGTGGGTTCAGTGGGAGAGACAGACAGGCACATGCTATGAGCAATGCAAGGTCAACTCAAGGTCAGCTTATTATTTTGCCAGTCCTTAAGTATCCAGTCAAGGCTAGTGGAGGCCCTTTAAGACAAAAAGCCCCCTCCACTCCTTTTTGTTAAACTTCCTGTGCTCTTTACTGTCCTAAAGTGAAATGTATAGTTACTAGAATGTGTCCTTAGATTTTTTAAAAATAATATATATTTTATTGATTTTTTTTAAGAGAGGAAGGGAGAGGGATAGAGTTAGAAACATCGATGAGAGAGAATCATCGACCAGTTGCCTCCTGCACACCTCCTACTGGGGATGTGCCCGCAACCAAGGTACATGCCCTTGACCGGAATCGAACCTGGGACCCTTGAGTCCACAGGCCGACGATCTGGCCACTGAACCAAACTGGTTAGAGCCACAGATTTATTATTTTTTTTAAAGCAAAATACAGCTCTATAATATGGAGGGGAAATAAAAGTAAAGGATAAGGAAATCATGCGTCTTTGAATTGTACACGCCCTGGCTTAACTCCCCTGGAAGACGTGTGATGCAGTCAGACGCCGCGGTGGGACAATCTGTGTTGCACGTGGTTATTCATCCAGCGCTTCAGCCAGAACCCCCACCGCCAGGCGGGGCTCAAGCCCGTGCTGCCTGTTCAGCCGGGCACCTGGTCGGAAGGGCTGGCGGGTGTCCTGTGTTGTATAAGTTTACTGCCAGACTGAACCCCTGGGGCAAGCCCCGGCCGGATGTGGACTGTCACAGAGGGGAACGCGGGCCCAGGCCTTTCCTGCCCAGGAGCCCGCACTGAACCAGGCCCCCGATGTCCAGTTGCTCCCAATTGCAGAGCATCACACGCACCTGTTTGAGGGACCGGGAAGCTGACAGGAAGGCCTCTGGTGACGGAGTGAACTCGGAGACAGCTCTGACCTTCCCGGAACTCCGAGAGCCACCTCCCACCTCGCATGGCCAGAGTGGCAGCTTCTAGACAAATCAAGGCCCGTTACTGGCACATCAGCTTCAGGAAAAAGTGTGTGTGTGTGTGTGTGTGTGTGTGTGTGTGTGTGTTTGTGTTGGGGGGGGACCCGCAGCCAGTAGGCTCCATGTGGGTCCGATGGGAAGAAGCTTGGGCAGATGGAAAAGAGGTTTCTCAAATCCTTGCAACGCACTCACACATGTGTGTGCATGCACACTCACGCACGCAACCATACACGCGCACACACACACACACACCGTGCACACACAGGCATCCATATATGCACACATGCACACACACGCCTGCCCGCCCACGCACGAATGCATGCTCGCTCCCCTGCAATGCCCGCATGCCCTTGCGCACGCACGCTCACGCACGCACGGACGCACGCACGCACGCACGCACGGATGCACGCACGCATGCGTGGGACCAAATGCCCGGCTCTTGGCCTCCTGAGGCTCAGTGTTACCTGACGGGGCGGACAGGCCTGCTCTGCCGCCAGCACCGCCGGCTGAGGGCTCAGGCGAGTGTCCCCTCCCTCCCCCCCTCCCCGGCCGTCCCGGCCCCCCACCCCCAGAAGCCCCTCAGGCGGGCGCAGGGGAGCCGGGGTTAGGCTGCCTGTGGGGGTCGGGGGGCGGGCGCTGGGCCCGGGAGGCGGGCGCTGGGCCCGGGAGGCGGGCGCTGGGGCCGGGGGGCGGGCGCTGGGCCCGGGAGGCGGGCGCTGGGGGCCGGGAAGCGGGCGCTGGGGGCCGGGAGGCGGGAGGCGGGCGCTGGGGCCGGGAGACGGGAGGCGGGAGGCGGGCGCTGGGGCCCGGGAGGCGGGCGCTGGGCCCGGGAGGCGGACGCTGGGCCCGGGAGGCGGGCGCTAGGCCCGGGAGGCGGGCGCTGGGGCCCGGGAGGCGGGCGCTAGGCCCGGGAGGCGGGCGCTGGGGCCCGGGAGGCGGGCGCTGGGGCCGGGAGGCGGGAGGCGGGCGCTGGGGCCGGGGAGGCGGGCGCTGGAGGCGGGAGGCGGGCGCTGGGCCCGGGAGGCGGGCGCTGGGGCCGGGGAGGCGGGCGCTGGGGGCCGGGAGGCGGGAGGCTGGCGCTGGGGCCGTGAGGCGGGCGCTGGGGCCAGGAGGCGGGTGCTGGGGCCCGGGAGGCGGGTGCTGGGGCCCGGGAGGCGGGCGCTGGGGCCGGGAGGCGGGCGCTGGGGCCGGGAGACGGGAGGCGGGAGGCGGGCTCTGGGGCCCGGGAGGCGGGCGCTGGGGCCGGGAGGCGGGAGGCGGGAGGCGGGAGGCGGGAGGCGGGCGCTGGGCCCGGGAGGCGGGCGCTGGGGGCCGGGAGACG